GTTTCACAGGCAAAAAATAGAACATATGGTTGCATCTAGGTAGTTCAACAGTAAGACCTAATTGCCAATCTAGTATTAGGTTTAAATTCATGTAGTCGAGGCACCAAGGAGGAAAGCGCATCAGAACAATTGCCATTAAAACGGTTACAGAAAAGACAGAGGGAAGTCACATCACATTGTTGAGAAAGTGACTGAAACTGAGATGCCAGGTCAGGATCGTTTATATTACAGACTCTTCATTGAATTTTGTCAAGAATCTCAAGATATATAATAGGAGCACCAGGCTAGATATGGCAGCAGTATTCAATGCATGGATAAATGGTAGATTTATAAATGTGCAAGATGGATTCTGACAAGAAACATTGTCTGGCACAACACAGCAAACCAACTTTCCTAGCAGTAGATGTGACAATCAATTCATTATAATCCCTCCACTTCATGTCAGTGGGAAACATGAACCCAAGAAGAGATAAAAGGGTTTCTAACCTAGAGGTTAGCATCAGCCATGCTGATGGCAGGCAGAAAAGGTTCTCTATGGTGTTTAAATGAAAGCAGTTTTGTTTTGGAGACATTAAAATTGACAAGCCATTCCTTGCTCCAGTTAACCACTGATTGGTGGTTCTTTTTGAGAGCAGTTGCCGGTTTTACTTTTTTGGATCTGTCAGACTTAAATACTGTCTGCATAAATACTTAGTTGGGAAACAATGTAGGCCCAAGAATAGAGCCCTGGGAGATCCCCACATTAATGTGGAATGAACTAGACGTGTGTCTGTTCAATGCAACCTTCATTACAAAATTTGTTTGAAATGATTGGTTTAAGCCTAATATTTGTCCAGAGACATTGTAGCCCTTGAGCCAAACCCTGCTGAACACCTTTCAGGTATCTAGAGCCAGAGCCCAAGGTTTGCTATTCTCACTTAAAACTTGATAAACAAATTTAGTGATTGCCATTAACTCATTGAAAACCTGTTTACAAACATCCCTGTTAATAAAACAATTGATATTATTTCAAACAATATGACAGTGTCACTATGTATAGCCCTCTGGTCATTTGTTTTTTTTTAACATTCATAAAACAAAATATTTTTTAAATATTTATATACCCATCTAGTAAACAAAATATATTTTTTTTAAAATAAACTTATGTGTCTAATATATAGGGAAGATGAATATTATGCTATTTAATATTACAAAAGAACATACATAATTTATACAGAATATGTTATGATAATATACAAAAAAAACAATGTAAATATAAATAAAAAAATGTTAATGACAAATAGATATAAAAATATTTATACCATTATCCCAAGAATTTATGAATCATTACAATTTTCTGGCATATATGACAGAAGATGTATGAAATTGTAAAGGCCAGCTTTGTATAATTGAAAATTATTGTAAAATAAAAAAAAATGATTTCACAATAGGTCTTATACATCTTCAAATATCCATTTCAAAATTGCTAAAAAAGATCATGGACCTAAATTTGGAAGCCATATTGAGAAATTATAATTGTTAACCAATTTGGTATTGTATTTACATTAGTCGGACTATTGTCCTCATCTTTATATATATTTTTTCATAATATATTTTATAATTCTTCAGGTGGTAAAATGGCTAAACCTTTATTTCGGTCGTCCAAGTTCTAATTCCACGTTATTTGATGGATGTCAGTTATCATTATCTCCTGCAATTTTCCCTCTGAAAGTTCTCCACTGCCTTAACCAGACTCAATCTTTGGGTCTCTGGATCTAACAACGCCTTTATCCATGTGCCATGTGTCCTTGAGGACATCTGGGTATGAACTAGAGAAAATGACTAAAGACTGTGTAATCCCCATATAAAAAATGTCATTTCAGAGACAGGCCTACCCTCAAGGTAAGGCTTCAAGAACACCAAAAAGCTTCCAAAAATCAGGCGTGGAAAAAAACATATGGAGAGAGAATATAATCACCGCCCCTTGGGATCATGTTGAGATCATAGACAGAACCTTGGAAAATTCAAAAAAATTATGGAATCAGCACATATGCTAGGCATAAAAATCTCCTGAGGTCATATATAGAAATAAATACAATATGGGAACCAGTAATAAGGAGTTGGAGAAAAAGCAATGATAACAAAGTTGCAATATGAACTACATTTGCAAAAAAAAAAAATTGCAATATGAGCACTGGTAAAAATGATGCTGAAAACATTAGGTTTATAATACTCAAAAAGTTCATACCCAGATGTTATGGAACATGGCACAGAGGATAAAGGCTTGGTTAATCCAACAGACCCAAAGAAGGTGAGTTCAATTCAGGTTAAGGCATTTAGAACTTTCAGAGGGAAAATTAGAGGAGATAACTGATAACTGACATCCATCGAACATGGCACTGGAATTAGAACAGTCTACCCCAGTGATCGAAATAAAGGGTTTAGTTCAGCCAAAAAGAAGGCAGTACTGTCTTGAATGGAATAAAAAGATTATAATGTTACTGTAATAATTCATCTCAGAAATATAGACAAACTCCAGATTAAAGCCTTTACTACAGAAAAAAAATAAGAGAAATATTGTGATTGCGGGTCAAATAATAACTAAACAAGCTAGAAAGTAAAGCAGTGAGGCATTTATTGAAAAGGAAAAAATTCATTTGTCTAATTATTGTGTTGAATGGAATAAAGAGTTTATATGTTATAAATTTCTTTTCATGAAGCCCATTCATATCATAAGAAAAAACATTGTGAAATAATCTAATATTGAGGAAAAAAGTTATTGTGTTGAATCATATTAATGCGGGAGTCCCCCAGGGCTCTACCCTTAGACCTATGGGGTTTCTTATCCTATGGGGTTTCTTATCAATAAATAAAAATGGCATTAAAATAAAACAGTTAAATTCAAAACAAAGTATATAATACATAAATTAATTTCTCAAACTAAGTTAATATAAATAATAATTACATTATAAAAATAATTTAATAACATTTACTCACTTTGATTTAATAAACATTAAATTATATCACTTAGCATCCTCCATAATTTAATCCTGACTTTCAGTTAGCCTAAAGTATATTTAAGAGTATGCTTAAATTTAAAAATTCTGGCAAACTAACAATGTTTTTACTTCTGTGTATAACTACTTGTTGCAAAATAAAATGTTTACATTTGCCTTGATAAAGCCCATCAGAGGACAAAATATATTAGCAAAGATATGCTTTCCTTTTGTCTTTATTCATATTGTCTTTTTACAGATATAATTTTTAGTTATGTCTGAATTTTTACATGTGTGTGTGTGTGTTAGTAGGATGTAGAATAGTACCCAAACAAAAATAGAGATAAAGAAAGTGGAAAAGCTCTGTCTAGTGGGCATCTTCAAGTTGAAATGAGATAAAACCTGTGTGTAAGGAAAGTGCATTGGAATATTTGAAAAAGGGATAACAAATAACTTTATCAGATAAAAGAACGAAAATATTTTTTTATATTGAAGCCATTAATGTCTGCTGGATTTTAAATTCACTCACTTTGAGTAGATCTCTTTTTTTTCTCCATTTGTTTGTATACAGTATTGTGCTATTATTGTTTTTGCAGTGATTGGTACTATTATATATATATATATATATATATATATATATATATATATATTAGAGAGAATATATATTCTACTTTATCTTCCATATTCTTTGCTACATGTGTTTCGGGCCTTGTGTCCTTCATCAGGCAAAGAATGGTTATTTCCACATATTATTTGAAGGGATTATTTTTATCATTGTTTTCTTATGCTTAACCATTGCCTTTTAGATTTTTCCACCAGTCTAAGAAGAATTTAGATTACTACCACACACAAAAGATAATGTTTAAACATAAGAAAACATAAGGCAAAAAAATTCCTTTAAATAATATGTGTAAATAACCATTCTTTACCTGATGAAGATCACAAGACCCAAAATGTGTGTAGCAAAAATATAGAAAATAAAGTACAATAAAGTTAAAAAATCCACATTATAATCAAAAAATGATGGGACCCATTTTAAATGTAAGTATCTTGGATTATAAAAATGACATAGAGTACGAAATATATTTATTACATAACTGATATAGATGAGTTCAACATTCAAGATTTGAATATTACATCCCTGCGATCAGGAATTGCCAACTGTATACTGCAAAATATTGAAAGGTTTCACACTAAATAAGCCACAAAAATAGTTGAATAGATACATTGAAATAAAGTAAGTTCATATCTGGCTCACTGGCCAGCTAACACAGAACCCTGAATACTTTTTTTTCACATATTCAGAAGATTGTTCAACAATCCTGATATATCCTTTCCCAATTTTTTGTAATGGTTGATATTTGGTCATTGATTTTGATCTGAATATGGTCAAGAATTTTCAGTCTGTGCTTGTATACAAGGTGTCCCCTAATGAGACTCATTTTAAATGCAAATATCTTGGATTTTAAAACTGACAGAGTACCAAATATATTTATTACATAACTGATATACAAGAATTCAATATTGTAATATCCCAGCAACAGAAGGGAGATAACCCCTAGAGACACAAGAGTTAGGTCCCCTCCGGACATCCGGTTAATCTTAATCAGCAGTTTGACAGCAAAAGGGGAATAGGAGGCCACCATCATCCGAGGGACAATCAACAACCATCCTAATATCCTATCAACGCATTAATCGATGCCTAGCAAGCATCGATAGCCTCTTGCGCAGAACATTACAAATATATTGTCTAAGATTTGGATATTACATCCCTGAGATGGTCACCACCATGAAGAAAACATGCATGAGCTTGCTCTCTGATTTCAAAAACAGGCATTATGTGGGTTCATCATCAGCAAAAGAGATATCATATACCTGTAAGAAATCATCTTGAATATCAATTATGTAATAAATATATTTGGTACTCTATGTCATTTTTAAAGTCCAAGAAACTTACTATGCCCCACCATTATCAGACACCCTGCTTAATAAACTCTCTGTTTTAATTTTGTTTTCTTTTTGTAGCACAAGAGCTAGAAGAAGTAAATTTGCTTTTATCTGAGAAGCAACAAATGTGTGATGATCTAATTATTCAGGTAAGTACCAAAAGTTTTAATTTTTAAAATCAAGATATTTGAAACCTTGCTAAAACTTCAGAAAACTTTTTATTCAGTTTTCTCAAATGACTGTCAACAATTCAAGGTCATTTCTGGGGAAATTTTGTGATAGAAATAATTAAGCAAATCTTCTGAAGTAACAAGGCCAGGGAATTTCCAACTGATCCCTTTATTTAATTTATAGGAATAGATTGTTTTTGATCTGCTGCTCATGTCTGAGGATATCTTGTCTTGTTCTTTTTTAGTTATTGCTTACACTGTTTCTAAATCTGTACTACCCAGCCCAGAGATTGAACTCACATTTACAATGCCCCCAAATTCACAAACCAGTGTTTAATCTACTTGCCTATTGTCCTGTGGAACAAATCTGAACCTAAAAGTTCAAACCTTAAAACTAATGTACTTATTACCTGCTGGCTGCTATCACACTTGACCTCTTTTCTTGCTGCTAAAGCCTTGTTGTCATTTTTCTTTCTTTATTAATGGCTCCTGTATGGGATTTATTTTTAAGTTGGACATGAAGAAGCAGTCATAGCTTGACATATGCACTGATTCCTTCAGATGTCTGATTCACCAGTATTCTTTGTGTAATATTTTTACTTTATTCCACAGGGGTTAGTGACTATGCTTTTCACTCCATACATGATCAGCCATGCCTGATTTCATTGTCTTATGCCTAATTATGTAACGATTCTGTTACGAGTTTTAATGTTATTTACATGTAACTTCAAATTCAATGCTTACAGTTTCTTTTCTTGCACTTCTCACCTGTCAAGCTCCATTCCAGCTCCATATTTTCCAGCCAATTTTAATCTGCAAAATTTAAATGCAATGTCAATCACTATCTATTGTCCCCCTGATTATTTTTTCTTCCGTTCTTGCTCCCTAGCAATGTTCTTGTTTCTAACCCTTCCACACCCAGTAATGTCTTGTGTCTCAGAAGCTTTACTGCCCTGCTTGCCATGAATTTGATTAAAATAAATAAATAAGTATGTCATGAATATAGGTGTGATTTGAAAGTAAAATTTAGTCTATAAAATGGGGAATAATGTCTTTAAATATTCCCATGTATACATGAAGAGCTCTTTGAAAGTAAAGAATTATAATAGCAAAATGTCATCAAAAGTTTTTATAAGATGCAAAGTGCCACTTGTATCATGTAAACCAGTACTACCAGCTGCATGGTCAGATGACCATCATTGGCTCCCCTACCAGGCTTTTCTGGTGAAGTGGGTGGCTAGACACCCATAAGGATTATAAAGAACTGTCAAAGGGCAGGTAAACCTTCTTGTAGGGTTAACAGCCATCTAGCACAATAGAGTAGACAGGGGGCTCTATAGCTATGGATGCAACCAATGCAGTAATGACAACAACCAGGGTGGAAGGTTCCCTAATGGAATCAATGGTCATCTGTCAGTGACAAGGGTGGTTTTCAAATTGCATTGGCTGTGGTTTACCCAAGACACACTACACATGCATGAATACATTTCCAGATATATGGAGGGAACTGATGAGGTGATTAACGGTGCAACAATCCTATGACAACACCCAGTTATAGGAACTACTGATGATGTTAATGAAGACGATCAAATAATTATCTTGACAGCTTGATGAAACTTTTTAAAATTTATCTTGTAGAATTGGGTATGTCAATAAGGATATTTGGTGGAAAAGTAGTAGAATTGTCCTTATCTTTCTTGCTGCTATCACAGTGTTTCAGGCATTGTTCCTTACAGACTTCATCAGGTGCTGCAAACTTCAAACTAAACCATTCATTTAATCTATGTGGGTAGATTGTTACCATTCTACTGTCACTGTCTAGAGAGGTCTTGCTTTAGAACTGATCATATATATGCACACATCTCATCTAGTTCTTATTTTTTTTTTAATACTACTCAGTTATTGCTCTCCTCTTTCCACTGAGCTCAAGTATACTCTTCCAAGCCCAGGGATTGAACTCACAATTACTATATCACAAAATTCACAAACCAATGATTGAATCCATTAAGCTAGCAATAGCTGTGAGCAATAACTGTGCAGTACTAAAAATAAGAACTAGACAAGATATCCCTAGACATGGGCAGTAGAACAAGAGCAGTCTACCTCTCGCAGATTAAATAAAGGGTTCAATTCAGAATTCCTTGTAGGTTACCTGGATTGATATACACTATGATGAAGGCTAGAAGGCATAACATAAATAACTGAAACTTTGTGATGACAGCAACAAAAATAAGGACAATAATCCAAATGTAAATCATGTAAATAATAACACTTCATCCCAGAAATCCAGATAGAGATCAATTTATTTTATTTAATTATTTAATATTATTGACTTTCAGCAAGTATCAAATATATTTTTAGATTAATCTGTGACTAGATTTAATTTTTAGATTAAACTGTGACTAAATTTAATTTTGTATTTATTTTTTTATGAAAATGAATAATTCAATCAAAGCATAAAAAAATATTATGAAATAATTTCTGTAGAATCATTTTTTTATTTAATCAAATTCACCTCCATTTAATATTAATTTCTTAATATTGTTTCTAATTTATTTTTTTGTTTTTTAGGACAAAGAATATTGCCAACAAAATCAGAGGGAATTAAAGACAACAAGCATACAAACAGAAATTTTACATAATCAGGTAGAATGACAAAACATCAATGTCTGAAAAATTGAGTTTTACTATGTTGTCTTCTGAATGATTTTAACTACAGTGCAACCTCGGTTCTCGAATGTCTCACGTGTCAAACAAATCGGTTTTTGAACAGAATATTCAAGATGAAACAAACAAAATTTTGGTTCTCAAACAATATTGCCAAACCGAGTTAACCCAAATAGAATCATTTCTTAGTCAACCCCCATGTTGTATACATTTTTGTGCTGTGCTTTTCTTTTTCAATTTTATTGTACTGTGCCTTTTATTTTCTCTCTCTTTATTAGTCCTCAGTTATGGCTCCAAAGAAAGCTAACAGTGATACTGGTAAAGGAAAAAGAAAAGTTAAGAGAAAAACAATTGTTGATGATATTGTCTCTTCCTACTCAGTTTCATATGGCAAAATCAACAATCTATACTATTCTTATAAATAAAGAGACAATCATGTCTTTCCTTCCATTTTCTAAACAATAACATCTCTTTCCTTCTGCTTCCATTTATACCATCAACTCTCCTACATGCAGGTACAGTAAAATTGAAGTGTTCGTCTATATTTTATCTGTTTAGTATTGTTTGTTTTTTTCTTAGATTTAATGATTTTCATTAGTTTTGTGCATAAACTTGTGCACAAAGTACTGTTGTTAAAGTTTAAATAAGCAATCATCTTCGGACCAGGAATAGATTAATCCATTTTACATTGATTCTTATTGGAAAAATATTTTCGGGTTACAAGAATTTTGTGTTATGAATGGGCTTCAAGAACGAATTAAATTCATGAACCGAGGTTCCACTGCATTCTCATTCCACTGACCATATCTAGGGATATCTTGTCTTGTTCTTATTTTTAGTATTTCTCAATTATTGCTTGCCCTGTTTGCTAGCTTACTGAATTAAAACATTGGTTTGTAAAATTGATGACAGTAATTGTGAGTTCAATCCCTGAGCTGAGCAGAGTGTACTTGGACTCAACTTCTTTTACTTCTTTCTCATGATAGACAGAGTAAATTACTTTCCAGTATAGTTAGAACTTGTAAAATCCTGTAATTCTCTATGAAGCTCATCTGACAAATGATTTGTTCCTAACACCCTCAAAAAAGGATAAATCCCTGGAGAAAATAAATGGCTATAAAGAGATAGAATTATATTTTAATTAAAAGGAATAAAACTTATTAGAAAGAGGAATATCAAACTACAGAAAGTAAATAACTGCCATTTGTACAAGACACAAATATAAACATTCACTTTATGATTGTGTCTTTCATAAACTTACAAGGGCAGATAAATAAATAAAGTTTCCAATCTTTAAAACTGATGAAAACTGTACAAACCTTTTTTTTAAGTCTCATGGTCCATAAACACAAAAATTCAAATGCATAATGCCTACACCAATTGCTAAACTTTAATGATTGATGTACATATATTTAATATTAATATATTCTGTTTGACTTGAAAGAATTTGACATAGATTTTATTTAAATGATATACACACACACACAATATATATATATATATATATATATAGAGAGAGAGAGAGAGAGATAGAAGGATAGATAGATAGAAAGATAGATACATGAATAATTTACATTTAATGAAATTCAATATCCTATATGGATGGCCATTTCACCTCCTGAGCATAAATTCCTTACTGAAGCTTTTCAGCACAAAAAAGTTTTTTTAGGTGAAATAGCCATCCATATGGGGTATTGAGTTTCATTAAATGTAAATTATCTATATATGCTCTGTAATAAATATACTGATCTCACTTTGTGGACCAGTTTTAATATTTTTATTAGGATTCACTTGGATTATTTACCCATGGATTTTTACCTATATATATATATATATATATATATATATATATATATATATATATATATATATATATATATATATATATATATATATATATATATATATATATATATATATATATTTGAGAGAGACAGTGGAGTAGTGGATAGTGGCTTGGATTGAGGAATCGGAGAGCCAAGTTCGAATTCCAGTCAAATCCATTTTACATTCACTTACATGCTAATACCCTTTGGGGAAGGTATTAATCCTCTTCTTCTCCCTCCACCTACGGGTAAATGACAGGACAGACTGGGTTCTATAGCCTTTGATGGCAACTGGTCTAGGAGGAGGATAACTCCAAATTCAAAATCTGTGGAGTGTCATTTGGGGACCTTATGGCACATAGTGCACTAGGTCTCTGTATTCAGCCCTTCAAAAAGTGTGGTTGGTTCTGCACAAAGCCTTCACCACTATTATCAAATCATATGTGCTGGTGTCTGGGCTCTCAGTTACTAGGAACTGAGCTGCTTAACACTCATATGTCAAATACAATGGGAGAATCCACCATATATATATATATATATATATATATATATATATATACTCATAGTAATTCATCAAGTCTAGAAGAATCCTCAACAAAATACTCACTAAATTCTGGTGGTAATACTTGCCCAAGTATACATAACCCAATGGATAGGGCCCCAAGAGCAATGCCTTCTTTCACCAAGCTGCTCTCTCCATAGTATTAGAAGCTGGATCAAGCAAGAATATGTAAGTGATAGAAATATTTGGGAGATTTGAATAATCATTCATAGAAATTCATTGAGTCTAGAAGAAGCCTCAACAGAATGCAAAAAGCACTGGACAGCTGTTTTGTGCTATTTGGGACTCCTCAGCAGTGTGCATCCACTACCAAGAATCGACAAACAACTGCTTATTTTAAAACAGCATTTACTTAAATATTTTTGTCTATATAAGTAACATATAACAATGAAATATATTAAAAATACATTTACTTTTTTTTAAAAAGTGCTCAATGCAACGTATATATATATATATATATATATATATATATATATATATATATATATATATATATAATTTATTTACTTTATTTATTTTTAAAAAAATAGATGTCATTAAAATATTAGGATTTTTATTTAAAGAAATCATTGTGCATCCTATTCTGATTTGTGTCATTAATTTGCTTGGATAATATTTCAGATATTTTGCTTTCTCCCTTTGTCAGGTAAGTAACAGTAATAGCACATATGCATGAATCAAAAGACTTTTTTTTTATTTTTATTCATACTATTTGCATTTTATCTATTTTCTATTAGTCTTTACTTTGTCTTTGTTTCCTTCTCCCATCAGCACATTCATCTCAAGGTATCAGGCCATCCAGACAGTGTCTTTGGATATGCTTTTAAGATTTTATCATGTACCATTTCCCAGCATGCATTTTAACCTCACCTGTCTTTTCTATGACATTGGTAATATGTATTGTCTATCAATAATTTTATTGTCTAATTTATTAGTGATGCAAATTAGCCCATTTTTTCACTGCTTAATGTTCTTGGTGAAGAGGCAAATGACTGAAATAGCTGGCTTAATTCATTCTGTTGTTATTGATTAGGGAGATTGATTGGCAAATTCTTGTCTTTAGATGATCTCTGGAACAAAGCTAAAGATATAAAGATATTCAGAAAAGTATGTTTGCATCAATTATACAAAGCATATATATTCAATCTCCTTTTTGCCATTTTCTTTCTTTCTTTCTCTCTTTCTTTCTTCTAAGATTTCTTTCTTAATAAAATTCTTTCTTTCTTTCATAAGATTCTTTCTTTCTTAATAAAATTCTTTCTTTCTTTCATAAGATTCTTTCTTTCTTTCATAAGATTCTTTCTTTTTAATAATTTTTTTTTCTTCTTAATGTTTTTTCTTTCTGTTAATATAATGCTTTCTTTCTTTTTTCTTAATATAATGCTTTCTTTCTTAATATAGAGCTTTCTTACTTTTTCTCTTAATATAATGCTTTCTTTCTTTTTCTCTTAATATAATGCTTTCTTAATATAATGCTTTCTTTTTTCTTAATATTATGCTTTCTCTCTTAATATAGTACTTTATTTCTTTTTCTCTTAATATAATGCTTTCTTTCTTAATATAATGCTTTCTTTTTTCTCAATATAATGCTTTCTTTCTTTCTTAATATAGTACTTTCTTTCTTTTTCTCTTAATATAATGCTTTCTTTTTCTCTTAATATAATGCTTTCTTTTTCTCTTAATATAATGCTTTCTTTTTTCTTAATATAACGCTTTCTTTCTTTCTTTCTTAATATAGTACTTTCTTACTTTTTCTCTTAATATAATGCTTTCTTTCTTTCTTAATATGTTTTCTTTCTTAATATAGTACTTTCTTTCTTTTTCTCTTAATATAATGCTTTTCAACTACTCTTTCTCACTGTTTCTTCTTAAAATATCCATAGTTTGAATAATTTTGACTTTTAAAAATTATCTTGTTTAATTTTTTATTTTATTTTTTTATGTTTTCTAACATTATTATTACCTTTTTTTTTCCAACTGCATTAAAAGCATATATGAGAAAAATTCTGCAGACAAATTTTTGCAAAAGTGAACAACTTTCAAAATGGCTCTTGTGGTATCTGAAAATTCTTTCATATAACAAAATATTGGGGAAATCTTCAACATTTAATATATTTTGTCATTCCATTGTTATTCTTTCAAAAATATTTTCACTCTTCTTTGGTTTTCTTTTCTAGTTTTCTTCATTTTTGTTCTAATTATCAAGCCATCTACATTAAAAACATAAAAAGGGGGCCAAAATTTTACATATACATCTCTGAATGTTATTCTTTATGTTTCTTCCATTTTTTTTCCTTTCTCCTTTATTATTGGACCCTGTATGGAAGAGACAGTCTTCAATGCAACTGAATTTCTTGATGATGTTATAAATTTGCTCGCATTCTGCACTTACTTTACACAAAGACGTTTTCAATAGACACTACAAGATTTTTGTTGCACTTTCATATTTTAAATCATTTTTGAATGCGTTTTTTTTCCTCAGAAAAGCACTCACTTCCTTTTCTGCACAAATTATATCAAGCAAATGTTACAAAAGCTATTGAATGCTTATAAATATATATATGCTGAAGTACATTCTCAATACAATGCTGTTAAAGTGTCCACATTCATGCATGCAAATAACAAATAAGTAAACTGTTTTGAAACCAACTGACTTTTTAAAAACTTATATAGAAAACAGCATTCCTTCTTTCCCTCCTGAAGCCAATGTATACAAATGATGAGCGTGTCTCTGTAGATGACATAGGTATTAAGAATTGGGATAATAATGATCTTGAACAAAAAATCAACATTCTCTACCATGTATTTCAACAAATAGGACTCAAGATAAACATTCCTGAAACAGGAAATATGATCTGGAATTGATATGAAAGCCGTGATGAATCCATCATAAAAATTCAGGATGTGGAATTGGTAAATTCTAAACACTTCAAAAACCCTGGTATATGAGTCAGTTATAACAAATTTAGTATAGGAGATAAAGATTTTTTTTTAATCAATTCACCCCAAACAAGACAATAAATCCACTAAGATGCAAGGGGCTACTGGGAATAAAAGAGAATGAGAAGTCTTTAGAAGGCATTAGAAGCTCAATCTTAAAAATCAAGGGATAAACCTCTATTCTTGTTCAAAAGACCAGAGAGAAGTGTGAACCAGACAGATAGATAGATATGTATGAACAGGTAGAGATAGATATTTTTTTATATACTCACATATCATGTGACTTTTGAAGACCTAATTTTGAAGCTAATTTTAAGGGGGTCACATCATAAATGAGATATAAAATTAGCGTATGTACTTCTGGCCCTGGCTACTTGACCAAACTAAATATCCTTTTACTGTAGTCAAATTAGCTTCAAAATTAGGTCTTCAAAAGTCATGTGATATGCAAGTTTATATGATATTTAAATTCTATTCTTATTTCTACAACTCATGGATGTACAGGGGGTGTAATAGATAACAGTTCAGAATGAGAAATCATCAAACTAAATTCAAATTCCAGCCATGTTCATTATATTTACTTTCGTGCAAATACACCTGAAAAAGGTAGGAGTTCATGTCTCCTCCAGCAAGCTATAGGTAAAATAGCTGGTCAGACTAGGCAGTTCTCCATCCTTGGTTGTCAACCACTGTAGAGGGATAAGTCTCAGTTCAAAACTGTATGTAGCCCTGGGTACAACATACTGGAATTCACAGTGACTATATAATTTCAACTGTAGTGGATCTATGACTGTCTCAGTTTATTTCTGTTATTATTGTTGTGGTTGTTGTTGTTGTGGTTGTTGTTGTTGTTGTTGTTGTTGTAGTAGTTGTTGTTGTTCCTCCTCCTCCTCCTTCTCCTCCTCCTCTTCCGATTTCTGTTGTGTACTCATTTCTTTCTGGGTCCTGGCCCAGGTTAGAAATGGCATCATGACATTTTACACTGATCAATTAAAAAAAAATATGGACATATTTTACATAGAAAAAGCCCTTTGTAAGGTGTGGACTTTACTCATGAGAACAAAGTTTTGTATTTCTTTAAGGCATGGGCTACCAGGAATCCCTTCAGTGAGTCTATTGGAATCTTTTCCAAGTAATCCAAGGACTCCAACTACAATGTTGATGTTCTTATGTGCCACATTATTATTATTATTAATATTATTATTATTATTATTATTATTGTTATTAAAACATGTTCTTTCATTATTCATGTAGAACTCCTTTCTGATAGTACTTCTACAGTAAAATTTGAAACTCTCAACCAACTCTTATTCATAAAAAACAAAATATTTTGCAAAAGATGAATGTCTCATAATAATTCTTGTTTTCAAGGGATTTAATACATTTTTTTTTTCAGGAAATAAACAGACATTCAAAAATGGTAAGTATAGAATTAATTTTTCTTTGAATTTTACAACAAATCAAAATTGTGCAGAAACAAAAAAGCTAACATAAAAATTTCTTTGCTATTGGCTAGTAGAGAAAAGGAATAATTCCATATTAGCTTGGGTCGTCCAAATTTATTGCAGAACCGCGATCATGATGAACAATTACAACTGCTTGAAAAGTTTAAATTATCAACTCTCCAAAGAGTTAAAATTGTTCTTCTTAAATCCATTTTATATATATATATATATATATATATATATATATATATATATAGTCATTCACAGACAGACTGTTTCGCTGTTTCACAGCTCTTCAGTGTGGGTAAACATCCGGTTGCCTCTAGCTAGGATCGGAACCCGACTGAATTGGTGTCAGTCGGAGATTCTACCACTAAGCGGTCGGCGCACGGCAGGGATGAAGGTGAATTTTAGCGTATTTATTTTTTAGATAAACACACACAGTGACTGACTTAATATATATATATATTAAGACATTTTTATGTTTATACATTCTTTTTATAGATACAAATATTCAAGTAAATGCTCTGTTTATAATAAACAGTATTAATAACATTTACCAGCCTGGATTTTAACAGATATATTTACCAAAATTACACAAAAATATCTTGTAAATTTATTCAACATTAGCTTCAACAGTCTCCTTGTTTAAGTTGGTGAATGCTGCCAGAATCCTTGCCTTCAGTTCATCTTTGGTGCTACAAGAAGTTTTGTTTGTTTCTCGCGCAACTGTGACCCACACATAATAATCAAGGGGGTTGCAGTCTGGGGAGTTAGGTGGACAGATGTAAGAGGTGATGTGGTCACAGAAATTGTCTGACAGCCATGACTGGGTTCTCCTGCTTGTGTGGCATGGTGCAGGGTTCTGTTGCCAGACTTATGGTCTTCCAGCAGCCAACCTCTTGACCCAGAGCAGCACTACTAGAGCAGCACTACCCCCTCAAGGCCCTTGATAAGCTACCATGTAGAGTCTGAGACCCTGTGGGAAGATGAATGGAGGCATAACATCCCGATCCTTAGTGATTACCATTAGACTCATCCAAATCTTTCCGAATCCTCTGCACTGTCCTCAGATTGACACTCAAACACTCTGAAATGTTTATATTGTCTTCTGGTGCGAATGACAAGCAGTACAGCATGACAAGCAGTACAGCATTTCCAAATTTCTGGCAGAGTGAATTTTGTCATGGTGTTCTTTTTCTCACAAACTGTGACCCCTAATAAACTCTGCAGTCAACAAAATCACAAACAAACAATGCATCTGTGCAAAATTAAAAATATAAAATGGCGACAATTTACCCATCGCACCATGTGTGTGTGTGTGTGTGTATATATATATATATATATATATATATATATATATATATATATATGGTGGACTCTCTCATCACGGATTACAAATGAAGGCTCAGTAAAATAAAGTGGGGCTCAACCTTTATGGACATGCATGTATCTCCCAAGGCCTACAGATGTTTTGCAAACTTTTAAACTGATGAAAGCTGAAATATTGTGAGGAAATTAATACACACTAAGCCAAATACAATGATTCTTATTAATGCCTGTACCATTATTTTCACTCAAAATGATCTTAACTTTCTCAAACCACCAAAATCTCTTGATGATAATGATACATGGATATTTTCACTGAAATAAGATTAATAATTAAACTTTTTATGTAACAATGTCAAATTTTATCATGCAACTAAATGTTTTCACAGAAGAAAGTAGAAAGATTGGCTAGGTTTAACCTTCAGACCTGCAAGAAAATGGTGTATCAAAAGAACAGTTTTTCCCTTGACACCACTATTATTGTATACTCCCTTCACTATCTTAGCAATGTTTGTCATTTTCAAAAGTGATGATTAGAACTTTAATGAAACCCAAACATATGAAAGTGGATTTATACATTTTCTTTGTTCTTGAGAAAAAAAATATTAAAACAAAAATATTAAACACTGTTTATTTATTAGATTTTTTATTTATGAGAATAATTTTATATTTACAAGACTATAATATGTGCACCAGTTTCAATGCAATGTTTATCATTTACCAATTTATAGAGAAAGAAATATGAAAGCAAATGTTTTTATTCATAAATTTATAAAAATTTACAAAATTATTAAATATGTAAACCAACTATAATATTCATTATATACCAGTTTATAAAGAAAAAAATATGAAAATAAATGTATTGCAGTTCGGATTGAGGAATTGGAGAGCCGAGTTTGAATTCCAGTTGAGTTCATTACATTCACTTATTTGCTAATCTCTTTGGGAAAGGTATGAATCTATTTCTTCTCTCCCCCAGCTATGGGTAGATAGTAGGACAGACTGGGTTGTATAGCCTTGGGTGGTAACCAGTCTAGGAGAAAGAAACTCTGAATGCAAAACAGCATGTAGCTCTGGCAAATCACATACTATGCTGCTAAGGAAAGGATCATTCACATTGACTCGATGATCCCAACATATGGTTGACTCCTTTTTTTTATTATTCTTCCTGTTCAGTTCACATTGATGCTTACATTTTGGGCATTCAAATTTTCAATTAGCTGATATTTTGCCAAACATTCCAAAGAATACAATTTACCAATTGCTTTTGCCAAAGCCCTTAGTGTGTCCACTGTTCTTTTAAGATTTCTTCATTAGTCATCACATAATTGACAACAGATCTATCTGCAGATTTTCTAGGCATTTTTAAAAAACTTAACAATGATTTAAAAAATTTTTCAAAATTATGTTTTTTTCAAAAAGAATAGGAATCGATGTAACCTATAATTCCTAGAGTTTCAGGCTTTAAATTTCTATTGATTAGGCATCATTGATCCTAGATCACAATTATAAAAAAGTTGGAAAATTCAAATAAGAAGTAATCTGAGATGCAAAATAATCTGAGGAGAAAATCTGCTATGTCCAAAAAATCATGTTTATTCAAATTTTCTTGTTCTGTAGTTTATTGATATTTTTATAAAATTATGAATAAAAAATTGTTTTTATAATTATTTATTTATAAGTTGGTAAATAATAAATATTGCATTGTAGTTGGTTCAAATATTTCAATAACTTAGTTTTTAAAATTTTGAATAAAAATATTCTTTTTCAAATTTATGTCTTTATAAAATGGTAAATAATAAATCTTTATAAAATGGTAAATAATAAATATCACATTGTACTTGGTTCAGATATTTTTATAATCTTGTAAATAAACATTGCCAATGAAATGAAGGAGGTATACAATAACAAAGGTGCCAAGGGAAAAATTGTCCTTTTGATACACCATTTTTTGCAGGTCAAGAGGTTAAACATTGCCTAAAAGTTAAGCATAGCTGAAATGAAATCAATGGTTGAAAGGCTGATGAAGGTTATAGAATGTCAAGGAGTCCATATTAATATATAAAATAATAGAATAATTGATTCATGTATAAACAAAAAGGACACTTATACTTATAATCAGAAAGCGACAGTTAAAATTTTTGGGACACATAATGAGAAAAGAAGGGTCTGAAAATCTGACACTCACAGGACATATGGAAAGTAAGATAGAGAGGGAGAGAAACAGCAAGTAACCTGCCTTGCATAAATGAATTGCAGAAAAGGAATTGTGAGGTATAATAAAAAGAAAAACATTGCTAAGAACTACAAAGAATAGGAAGTTGTGGAGAGCCATGATCACCCACATCTTGAAGAGATAGGGCATATAGATGAGGAATCATTACTTTCTATTTTATTCTAATGTAAATATGAATGGAACATATAACAAAAAATTTTAAGAAAAATGGAAGCAAAAAGGACACAAAGAAAGAGACTGGGTAAACTTCTGGTACACATAATGAGAAAAGAGGGCTTGGAGAATTTAACACTCACAGTGCATATTGAAGACAAGAGAGACAAAGGGGAAACAGCGAGTAACCTACCTAACAAGTTTGTGTAAATTGATGACAGAACAGGGAATGGAAATGATAATAAAGGATCAAACATTGCTGAATGCTACAAAAGAAAGTTGTGGAGAGACGTGATCAATCTACCTGATGGTTTTTTTTGTGTAAATGAATGACAAACTAAGGAGTGGGAGGTATAATAAAGGGACAAACATTGCTTAGAGCTAAAAGATAGGAAGTTGTGAAGAGATGTGATCAACCTACCTAATAAGCTTATGTAAATAGATGGCAGAACAGGGAATGGAGGGTTCATAAAAATACAAAAGTTGCATATTCACCCACATTCTGAAGATCACCCACATTGAAAAAGGAAACTCAAAATTCTTTTCACAGACTAAATCGCAATGAATTCTATCATTTTCTTTAAACAATAAGGTACCATCCCGTTTTAATAAATATACTGAAAATGTATCATACAGCTATGCATTGACTGAAATAATTCCCAAATTGGGTAGGTGGTACTTATTAACTTAGAAAGGCATTCCATCTAAGAGAAGGAAAACTTTGATTTCAAACCTCCACTGCTATGTGACCCTAACCTAGTCATGGGAAAGATTTCATTAAGTAAATTCTGAGGATAAAATCTTGAGCAAGAGTCTCAAAGGATGTCTGATATTGCAACCAACCTTTTGTTCTAGTAACTCTTGCAGTAACACATATACCAAACATAACCATCACTTCCCCCTGCCCTTGGGCTATATCTGTGGTGTAAAGAGGACAGACATGCTACATGGGTAATAGTTAATCCCCTATAAAATGTCCTGCTCAGGAGAAGTCACTCTAGGGTTTTCTCACCTGCAGCTAATTGGTAAAACAGACACTACACTACCACCTATATTTTAAAAAAAACTCCCAGGTACAGATCTATGGTCTCTCTCAAAACTAACAGATGCCATACATACATCTTATGGATTTATTTGTACTATTGTTCACCAAATACAAGAACCAAAAGCAACTTGATACAGAGGATTACTGAATAAGATTGTTGTAAGTGTAAAGAGAGGAAGTAAGAAGTGCATATGAGGATTTACAGCAGGTGTGGACAAATCTATTCCAACCAGTGGGCCGCTTGAGATATCATAAGGTGGGCTGCACTACTAAAAACATTCAAGGTAATTTTTCATCAAAGGTGCCTCAGCCTTTTTCACTATAGAAGAATATATGTGTATGTGACTGCCTTAGGAATGGGGAAAAGTTGGGTTTTTTTTATTTTTGGAGAAAAGATTTTTCTAGAATTAAGAAACTTGCTATAATATTAACACAGATAATAGCGTGATTAGTACACACCATTTTGGGTGATTAATTTCTAATTTATTCACTTGAAAATACAAAACGAAAAAATTAAATAAAAATGCATATTTCTTCCCAGAGAAAAAAAATATGAATATTTCCTGTTTCTAAAGCAAAAGATATTTACACGTCTGATCTTCCTTAGTGAAAATCACCAATGGTTTAAAATTCTAAAAATGTTATTGTCGATGAAAGTTTAAAAATTCAAGAAACATTGCACTTAATCATTGTTTATGTATGCAGTTATGTATGAGAGAGTGTAAGTGAACCAGTGGGAATGAAATAAAACAAACCAAATTTTAAGATTTTATGTTCATCACAAATTTTGGCTTGCTATTCAGATAGCCAAACAGTCACATATGGTCAGCGGGCTGCAGTTTGCCCATGACTGATTTACAGGATAGATAACTGTGGACACAACACTTGAAGAGGTTAAGAACATAGTGATCAAGAAAGCATCTTCTCAGGAGTCTTTTCCACAAAGTAATAGTTTTGGGTAAGAAGCTGTCTGAATGGAACTTCCTCCTTACTAATGGAATGCAAAGGAACTGAGGATAATTCAATTCTGTTTATGTGTCAGGGTGGGCTCTGGCTGTGAAGCTCTGTACTGGTGAGAATTAAAGAATGTGGCTCATTTGAACATTATAAAAAAAGATTTGTGTTACACTTTGTATAATTAAACTTGTTGCCCCCCCCTAAGTTATTATCAATATTTTTCACATATCATAAGGAGAATTCAGGTTTCCTGCTTTACTGCCTGAAGCCAATGTCCTGATGATGCAAATGACATAGATATTCATAGTTGCAATAAAAAGGATCTTGAAGAGAAAACCAAGTTTTCCAAGAAATAAAAACCTTTCCAAACAGAAACTGGGATTGGAATGAAAACAGTGATGGCATTCTATACAAATTCAGGATGTGGAATTAGTAAATACTAAACACTTCAAATACTTTGTTATATGGATCAGTTATAAACAATTGAGTATAGCTGAGGAAATTGAACATACATTAGGCTGCACTCGGAGTAATTTCCCACAACACTGCAAATTGCTACAAAACCAAAGCATTAACCTAAAAACTCAAGACATGTTCTAAAGTAAAATTTTGTGTGGATGTTATGCATAGCATCAAAATCGTTCAGAAATATCTCTACTGTCAGCTGGATAGGACCACATGGTTAGAAATGGCTTTGAGAGAGTGAATTATCTAGGTCTTAGAAAGAACCATTTTTTTAACCTTGTGTATTGGCACTACAGAATCCCAAACAAAAAACTGTACTGGATATCACATGTAACAATCAAAACCATTAAAATGGATTTCACATGTAACAATAATTATAATTAGATATTCAAGATGCTGATGTTCCACACTACATCAAATAAAAGGCAAGGAATGAAGACCTCATCAACACTGGAAAGAACGATAACAGCTACTGGACTTGAGAAACCTATTTTCCTTAAACATTGTTTTAAAAAAAAATTCTATCAATTTCAACTGATAGTAGCACTGGCTGCTTAATTAATGAATCTTGAATGTTACCTTATAAGGAAACAACTAATATTACTATTACCATTAGCTATATTGGTTGGTTAATTTCAATATTATTGGGAAAATATTGATGTGCATAATAATAATTGTTTTCTTTTCTTATCTATAGGTCAATTTGAAGATAGTGAATCTAAATGGCTTATCAATTCCTCAAGATCCAACACAAGATTTGATACTTGAAAAGCTGAAACAAAAGAAAAAGAATTTCGAGGCAATTTTGGCCTCAAAAGACAACACACTTAAAGAACTTCAGGAGAAAATTGGTAAACTTGAGGCAGAATTGGAAAAGGTACTTGATCCCTATTTATGTACTTAGCTTATATTAATCTGGATATATACTTGCAGAGATGGGTATATTACAAACCTATGTCTATATTTTTGATTCTTGAGTAAACTATCTCTACAATTTTAACATTAGTTTAAACTGGGACCAATATCTACTTTTTTTTCACTCTGGTCTAAATCTGACCTATAATTACCTTTATTTGGTTCTTGTATAGATCTGACCTTTATCTACCATTTTTTAATCTAATGTAAACTAGACTAATGTTTTTTTTTTTTATTCTGGTCTATATCTGACCTATATTTTCTTTTTTAGCTCTTATGTAGACCTGACCTATGCCTGTCTTTTTAGACTAGTGTAAACTGGGCTGATGTCTAGCTTTTTAATCCTAGTGCAAACTGTATATATACTTATCTTTTTGTCTCTAATGCAAATCATATATATATATATATATCTTTTTGAATCTAGTTCAAGCTATATCTATAACTGAAGTGTATACTAAAACTATGTCTTCTGCTCACCTATAAATTTTAAGAGGGTTATGCTATTTTAGTTTTTAGTTGTTACATGTTGTTTCGTGTGAATAGCTAAAGCAACACTTCAAAACACTGTAACCTTTGCCTTGAGGAGAAAATAGTAATGATCAACCATACAGAACAAGATAAACCCCTAAACAAATGATCAACGCTCATTCCCAAATGTAGACATAAAAACAAATTCTATGCCTCTAATAACCCCACAATGACTCCAAAGACTAAATAAAGTTGCATAACCTAAATCTAATAAAGTTTATTTCAAATAGGGAAATTTAGAACCAAATTAAATATAGAGAAAAAATAATAAATGAAATAGTCAAAATAAAAGTTATGGCCATAAATAACTTAAAGCATTAGCATTAAACAAAAGAACTAGAAAGGACCAATTTCTTCTTTACTCAATTTCCTTTGATTATTCAGTCACCTATATACCGGTTGTAACAGCAAAATTGTCCAAATCATGTTACAGCATAATTGTCCATCCTACAAAATGTTTAATATATAAGAAAACACTAAACTAATTGAAATTTTTTTCAGGTTTTCAGATAAAATGTTTAGCCATCTTGACACCATTTTTCATAAGAATCACTGAAAAAAACCTTTGAGTTATTCAGCTAGAAACAAAACAGGTTAAAATCATTTTTTGTCAGCCCCACTGTCTTCCCAAATGAGCAATGATGAGAGGAAAAAGATCATTCAGGCCTTCATTAATGGTACCAACATTCATACTTTTAGCTTCCATCTTCCAAGTCCATTCAAGAACCAAGAGAATGGTGAATAAGTTTTGAAAAGAGGGAATAGTAGAGAAAGAAACTGGATCAGGAGGTTACAACAACAGGAAGAGGGATGATCTTTTCAACTTAGAGCTAAAGAGATCAATTAGAAAAGATCCAACTCAATCCATAAGACATTTGGCATGTGAAAGAGGAGTTTCAGCTATGACAGTCCAAAGAGCAGTGAAAAACAGACTTGAAAATGAAATCGTACATAAATTGTGTGAAGCATCTTGTTACTTCAGGAGAGAAAGTTAGATGGTTAGAGAGGGCAAAATAAGTTGGAAAATGATCCTGAATAAAATATATATATATATATATATATATATATATATATATATATATATATATATATATATATGATTTTTAACTTTTATTTTAATCTTACTTGAAGAGTAATAAAATTGTTCAAAGTAGAGTCCAGTAGTGTTATAAAAACTTCTGAGAATTCCAGTAAAATATCTTTAATCATTTCTAAGATACAATGGTTCAAAGCTTAATCTAACAAATGGACAATTTTGCTGTTACACATTTTGGACAATTTTGCTGTTACACCTGGTATAGAGCCTGCAAAATGTGCAATGAGACATGATATGGAGATAGCATGAGGTGTGAAGCTGACAGTCACCATGCTGTGTTGATTCATCTGTCCACATTGTCTGTCTCTACAAATGTTTTTTTTTTCATACTAAGCACTCTCCCTCCATATGTATAAGAAATTTTACACTGTATGTGAGTATATGTGCATATATGTGTGTATCTCTGTATATATGTGTGTGTCTGTATGTGTGTTTCTATATAGGTATGCATGTATGTGTATCTGTGTATGCGTGTCTCTGTATATGTGTGCATATGTGTCTCTCTGTATATGCATGCTTGTGTGTGTAATAATACAAAATGTCCACCAAAATATACAAGCCTACATAACTTCTTCACTGATTCTAGACATTTTTACATTTTAAAATACAAATTTTAAATGCTCAAAAATTAGTGATTTAGTCAATGCCAATTTCCATATGAAAAAAATGTCACTGAAAAATTATGACCTGATGATTATCAACAATAAAAATGGAGTCTGTGAACACATTCCAAAATCTGGCTATATTCACATTTTATTAATACCCTTTCCTAAATTTGTGGTGGATGTGTGGATGGTGTAATGGATAGAAGCTCAGAATAAGAAATCAGAGAGCTGAGTTTGGATTCCCATTGGGTTCAGTACATTCACTTACCTGCAAATACCCTTTTCTCCCCCAGCTATGGGTTAAATACTGGGACTTGTATCAGGAAAAATCATTGTTATTTTCAAAAAATTGTTAATGCAACATTCACTCACAAAAAAAAAAATTATTCTTACAGTTATATATATTTCAGCTTTAAATATCTCCCAAAGGGGAAATAAGCCATAAAAATATAATCAATCAGTCATTTACCTAATTTTTTATTTGACATGATTTTAGTGTGCTGGCAAGACATACAGATTAAGTACCAAAAGAGATCTCTAAAAATATAAAAAAATGCAATAAAAAGACAGAAATAAAATCAAAATTTATCCTTTCACTTTTACCAACAGTTAACACTTCTGCTTTGTTGAACATACTTTTTTATTTATAAAACTTACATTTTCTGTTGTTGATGTGTGTATAAATTTCCAAGACACCATGAAAGATCACGCCATTGTGTTTGTGTTATAAACTACTTAGCACTTAATGCTATTTTCAGACTATCACTGACATTGAGTAGCATAAAATACAACCTATTTTGTGGTGTATTTTTATTATATTGTGTGTTGGGTGTGTTGTTTAACTTAGTCTGTTCACACTCCTCCCAAGTCTTTTGAACAGGAATAGAGGTTTATCCCATGTTTCTTGTTTAGGGTTGAGTTTCTATTTCTTTCTACTGTCATCTCATTCTCTTTCACTCAAAGTAACCCCTTGCATCTTAGTGGCATTATTTCCTTGCTTGGGGTGAATTGATTAAAGAAAAAAAAATGATGTTATCTGAATTTGAATGTCATGTTTTTATGGCCAGTTGTAAAATCTGTGAAATGATATCTCCAAAAGCAGCCACCCACTTGACCAAAAGAGATTAAAATAAAGATTAACAAATTAAAATTTTGGGGAACAATTGAAAACAGACTAGAAGTTGGAAATATCTCCAGTTAAATTCAAACCTAGTACTTTCTCATAAAGGGGAAATGCTCAAATGATAAATCTTTTTAGTGTCCACACATACAGTTCCAAACATTGAATGACAGCAATAATATTTGACTATTGTTCAATTTAGCATCTCAAACAATTTTCACATACCAAATACTCCTTTAGATTTATTACTATATCATCTTTATTGTTGCGATATGGAACCAAACCTGGGGTTATGAAGGCACAAATCAACACTTCTAACTGAACACCAGGGCAACTCAGGACTAAGACAACTCAGGAATGAGACAATTCAGCACCAGAAAAACACAACTTTTTTTATAACCAAATAAAAGTAATTTATTAAGGATTAAAACCTTAATTAATGAATATTCTTTTAATTATTTTTAATAAAGTAAATTGTAAAAAAAATTATTTTTTAATAAAGTAAAAATATTCACTAATTAAGGTTTTAATCATTAATAAATTACTTTTATTCAGTTATAAAAAATTGTTAATAAATTACTTTTATTCAGTTATAAAGAATTGTTTTTCTGGTGCTGAGTTGTCTCAGTCCTGAGTTGTCCGGTCCTGAGTTGTCTCAATCCTGAGTTGCCTCAGTGCTCAGTCAGTGGTGTTTAGTGGTGTTGAGTTGTCCTGCACCCACCTGAAGTATGTCTGTAACATAAAAATTTTATGAACTCATTGAATAATTATCTCCATTGACTCTCATCAGATAATGTTTTCAATGGAATCCAGAAGACATTAGAAAAGAGAATTTCTTTTTCTAACATGTCTTGTGTAACATACAAGTATAAAAAATAAATAAGAGTGGCAAAAGTGGGTTGTTACTTCTCTCAGAGATGTAGTCAAGTGATACTATGGTTAATATAAAAGCAGCACTAAAGTTAGAAAAAAAAACTCTCTCTTTCTCTTGGACTCCCATGGAACAGAGGACATGACTATAAGTAAAGTAGAAACTGAAATTAACAACTTGTTTTCACCTATTTTTATCTCTCTCTCTCTCTCTCACACACACACACACTGCACAAAACATACACATTTTGAAACACTTGATGTCAGTGGTAGCAAACATGGTCTATTTGACCTTTAGAACACTAAATTCTTTCTAGAATTGTTCCCCCTGCCACTGCATTTCTTTTGAGGATGCAGAAACATAAACACCTACTGTCTTAAAATTGTTATAACTTTCTTTGTATTGTATGTCGAGATTTTATTTTTTGTATACTAATAAAAGAATGGGTGAGAAATATTTTGATGTAATGCATTATATTTGTATGCATGTTTTGATGTTGAAAACAAAATAAACAAATACATTAAAAATTTAACATATTTAACTTTTATTATTCTTTGTGGAGTTCTGGGGTGCAATAACAAGCAAAATGGCTAAGAAGGCTTTCATTTTGTCAAAAAAGTGACGTGCTTTCTCATGTTTACATATGAGAAGACACCAGCATTTGTTTAGTCTATCTTTCATTTGACTAGCATATTTATTTGTTTTGTTGACAAATAAAGTTATTATTTCATTGTTTATAAATAGACAAAATAATTCACTTTCAGAAAGCCTATCAGGTACATCTGTGGGGCCAGTAGCTTCTATAAAATTAGTCAGCCCCAGAAGATAGTAGCCACTCATTATCTAGTTTTCAGCCTTGCTTTCTTCCACTAGCGTGGTTATCATCTTCAACCACTTCACCATCAATATCCGCTTGAGTAAAGCCTTCAAAGTCATCATCGGAGTCCAAATCAAAGAAATCTCCAGAATAAAGGCTTCATTGGATGCTGATGTGACCATTTTTGCTTATGAAAAATTGTGAAAAAATTAATGTGGGTTAAATCGATGTTGTACCTCATGTAGAGAATAGAACTCAAAATGCCATCGGAAAACCTTGTTCCAAAATAGTAGCAGGTGATTTGCAGCTTAAAATACCAGAAATAATAGTTGACAAGTGTTTATTTATAGCACCCATCTCAAGGCCTCAGAATATACCTACAGTTACAAAGAGAGAGAATTCTAGGGCAACAATTTTCACCTTCAGCGTCGCAAAGGTTAATTATGTTTTGTTCCCATTGTCGATCATTTTCAATTCAGATTTCTTTTTTTTTTTTTATTTTTATCAGACATGCTAGTGATGTATTTCTGAACATTTCTGTACATCTTGTTATAAAAAGATTTTAGAGGAGTAACTAAAAATGCCCCCAATGTATTCATTTCCAATCTGAATAAGTCTTATGTACCATTTTCTTTATCAGATATTTTAAAAAGCTCACCTGTTGACACTAATCATTAATTTTTTGCTCTTTATGAATTTTCAGTCCAACAATGTGAATGAAGACTTACACCAGAGAGTAAAGCTACTTCAAAAAAGTTTTAACCCTGATCAACCTTCCGCAAAGCCCAGAGAAATTAGCAGGTAACTGACAATCCATTGTAGCATTTTGTTTGTTTAATAGCATATCAACTTGTTATTAGTCATTTAATGCCAAAATTTAATTTTCTTGGGAGCTTTGGTAATTTTGAAAAAGTATTGATAGTATTTTTACTATAAAAATATATTTTTATATTTTCACAATTTTTTTACCTCAGTTTGTAGGTTTACTATTTTACCCATAGCTGGGAAACTAACATGTGCTACCATCCCTGGTCAGGATAGACCTGGGAACAACAGCTATTAAGAGGTGGTTCCACACTCCTCAAAACCTCCTGATCAGAGGTCTTGCTGCCAGATGTTGTTTGTCACCATACCCAAGACAAGTAGCATTTTGCCTTAGATATAATGACAATAAAGATAGTAATTCTTGTTTAGAAGGGAGCATTTCTTTGAATCTCCAAAATTGAATATTTTGAGTAATTGTATTCTGAAGCAAAAAGGTAGACAAAATTAACATATGATAAAGAAATTTTTTAAAATCTTAAAATAAAAAAAATCTTATTCATCACTAAAAAAATAGAACAACATTTTTATGAAGAAAAATGTGTGACAATTTAATTCTCAGAATGGCCTTGCGAAAGTAAAGTTTGTTTAGTTGGTCCCTGTTGGCTTCTATCACCTTCAATGTAATCACCACTATGCACTTCATGAGGTGAATGGTGTCACTACTGGAAACTGATATCTTGGAAGATTTTTAGTAATATAGTTATGTTTATGTTCAGAATGATATCAGAAAGAGCAATACAAATGTAGAAGGATATATACCTATGTTTTATAGATTATGCAAAATCATTTGATATAGTACATTACAAAGAACTATTGCAACTCCTAGGTAACCATCTATATTTCTGAGATAAGGTATTATGTACACTATTTACATTATTCAGACTATTGTCCTCATCTTTGTCACCATATTTATACTTAAGGATACATGGCACAGTGGATAAAGGTGTTGGTTAGATCCAGTGACAGTGTGAGTTCAATACCTGCTTAAGGCAGTGGAGAACTTGGAGAGGTGAATTAACAGGATATAACTGATAACTGATAACTGACATCCATTAGACATGGCATGTGGAGCTAGAACAGTCTACCCCAGTGAGTGAAATAAAGGGTTCAGTTTGACATTCCAACCACCTGAAGTTATCTCAAGGACACATGGCACAGTGGATAACGGCGTTTGTTAGATCCAGTGACAGGACCCAAAGAGTGTGAGTTCAATACCTGGTTAAGGCAGTGGAGAACTTTCAAAGGGAAATTAGCAGGAGATGACTGATAACTGACATCCATTAAAAACATGACATGTGGAACTAGAACAGTCTACCCCAGTGAGCGAAATAATAACATTCCAGAGTGTACAACAGCCAAAATGTTGTGATAAATATGGCAACAAAAATGAGGATAATACGCCGAATAATGTAAATAGTGCTGGGTAACCTTAACATATTTGAGAAGGATATTATTATATAAATAATCCAGAACCACCTGGATATGGATAGAAAATGAATTCAATAAATGTAGAAAAGGGTGTAAGACAAGGATGTGTCTTCTTACCGGACTTATTCAAAATATACAGTGAGGTAACATGAGAGTAGAAGTCCTACCAGGATTCATTATTGGTGGCCACAATCTTAACAACATAAGATATGCAGATGACACTGTGTTGATAGCAGATATAGAAAGGAAACTACAAGAACTTTTACAGAAGGTAGTTAAGGAAAGCAAGAAGAAAGGACTAAACATTACTTGCAAGAAGAGAGAATGTATGTTTGTTAGCAAAAGGAACAGCCCAACATGCAAATTACAAATTGGAGATACTAAAATCAAACAAATACAACAATTTAAATATCTGGGAAATGTTTTAACAGAGGACAGTTAAGTGCAACACTGAAATCCAATCGCACATTGGGATAGTGAAAGATGCCTTCCAAAAGTTAAGCGAAATATTAAGAAATAGGAAAATTTCATTAGAAACAAAGAAATGAGTACTAAACTGTTATGCAATATCAGTGCTCCTATATAGCACTGAATGCTGAGCAATCTTCTCAGAGATGAAGAAGAGACTTGAAGCAATGGAAATGTGGTTCTACAGAAGGATGCTGAGAATACCATGGACTGAACATATGAGCAACAACAAAGTTTTAGAGACAATGGAAACAAAAAGGACACTTATACTTAACATCAAGAGACAGTTGAAATTTCTAGGACATAATGAGGAAAGAGGGCTTAGGAAATTTGATACTCAAAGGACAGATTGAAGGCAAGAGAGACAGTGGAAAATAGTACATAACCTACCTAGCAATCTTGAATAAATGGATGGTAGAGCAAGGTTTAGGAGAGCTAAAAGAAGACAAAATTTATAAAGACGCTACAAAAGACAGGAATTTGTGGAGAGCCAAGATTGCTTATGTCCTGAAAAGACATAACACATAAAAGAAGAGACTGCTAGATGTCAGTGATATCAGTGAATCTTTATCCTTTCAGGGCATTTTTCAATTTTGGAGAATGCCAAAAATCACAGGGAGCTAAGTCAAGGAATAAAATGTATGGCCATAATGCAATGAATTTCTTCACCAAGAACTCACAATATCCTAACACATCATACACAGAAGCATTGTCATGGCTTTCTTTCTTCATATTTTGTACTTTTGTTATCTGTTCCATATTTAACCTTTGAACTGAGAACACCAAGATTCATATTCTGTTCACATCTGTGCACATTCTGTTTATTTTGTCTGCCCACTTCTTGTGTCATTGTGCGCATCTTGTTGCCCTTCCTAAAATTGCCTGTAAGTCTCTGTAAGCATGCAATGTGACCCTCACTCAAGCTTTCCACCAGCCAGCCAGCCAGTGATTACCCCATGTTGAATTCTGATTCTCAGTCTCATTGAAAATGGCCACTGTATGCTACAAGGTGACACAATGAAAGACAAATGCTGTATCAAGCAATAAGAATATGAACTTTATTTCCCATATTTTATGTCAATGTTTTATTCAAGACTTCACCTGCTCATCCAGGTGGGTAGGTAGGTCATACTTGGGACAACTTCTTCCTCCTACCAACTCCTTGCTATTGTTATATTCCGTATTTAGATGCGTGAAATTTGAAAACAATGTGGGCGAAAATAAATAAAAAAAAAAAAAAATGCAAACAATGAAATTCAGAATCAAGAACAAGACTGTAGATATATTTTATAGTCTTTTTAGTGAGGAAAATAAGAGCAAGTAAAAAGTTTGTATTTAAGAAGTTGAATGTCTATGGTAGTGGCAAGTTTAGTTCATGGATTTAACTTGACTTATGTAAGATGAAAGGTACCTTTGACAAAAATCGGACAAGAGTTCATTAGCAGCAGCAGTCACATTTTTAATGTTGAATTAATATCCAGTGTGTCAGCTAATAAGAACAATGACCCTTCTTTTCCTCCTGATTGAATGGGACTTCCTTTTGACTTTTCCGTGTTGAACTTATACACAAAAATTATCATTTTTCCAAATGGCAATTTTTTTTTATGTTATTTTATTCCGATTGATTGATTTAATTCTTTTTTTTTTTTTTTTTTAATTATCCCAAACGGAAATTATCTGTGTTTGGGAGCCTTTCGTAGACGTGCAGTTTTCATTTTGAGTCATTCAAAACTCGTGATGGTAACTTCTGTTTATCGAAGCAGGGCAAGATTTCATCTTGTAACACTATCTACTCATTCTGATGTGGTGGATGGCAATATGAATGGAGGCTTCAGAACATTATGGCAGACACATTTGCCTCCTGACAACAAACTCCAATCCCAAGCATGACAGTTAATATAGAACAGCACCCTACTTCCGGTTTTGTTGCCACTTGACCTCCAAAAACCCCTTATCCAGTCCTTTACTTCCACATTACCCTTCCTGGAAGCCACTTCAAAGGGTACTATCTACTGGTCTATCAAACGGAAACACTTAAGATCAAGATAAATCCACTTCTTCCCTTTGTACGTGGGTGTCCATAGTATCACTTCTTTTTTATGTACCATGTCCCCTCAGGATGTAGACGATCATGGCTTTCCACAACTTCCTGTCCCTTGTAGCTCTTAATAAACTTTGTCTTTCTGTTATTTCTCCTAAGCCCTGTTCTGCCATCCACTTACTCAAGCTCTCTAAGTATATTATGAGCTGTTTTCCTCTGTCCCTTTTGCCTTCAATCTGTCCTCTGAGTATCAGATTTTCCCATCCCTTCTTTCTAGAAACCTCAACTGATGTTAAGTATTAGTTTCCTTTTTGTTTCCATTTTCTCTAAAACTTCATTGTTGCTCACATGTACAGTCCAGGGTCACGTAAAATAAACAGTATTTCTTCAGTGCATCTTTACCGTGAACTATTTTTAATAAGGCTAATATTTCACTAGCATATTTATCAATCATCATTGACATTCATTTACTACTCCAGTTGCCTTTCACTCATTTTTCACCAGCAGCATAACATGAACAAGTGCAGCTTTCTCTACTGCTTGGCAATGAATCATTCTGCACCTCAAGAAAGTAAAAGTTGGAAGATGTTCAGATGTCTCAGATACAAATGTTTGCCTGACACATTATCCTAGAAACATGCTTTAACCATTCTGGGAATTAAATTATCACAACTTGTATAATCCTCAGCATTTGTCATAGTTATTGAAAAAAAGTTTTATAGGAAAATTAGGCAGGTTTTAATTTGATATACCTATTTCAGCAAAGCAAATTCAAACATTTATCAAAAGACAAGCAAAAATTATTTTTTGCATCTGTAGGTGAGCTGAAAAGTTCTGTTTTATTTTAGTCTTCATACATTTCATTATAATTCCAAACATTTTCCTTGCTACAGGTCAGGCTCTATGAACAAGAAGCATATGAAAAAAATTTGGGAAAAGAAAATCGCAATTTTACAAGAAAGGTAGGCTAAAAATTCTTACTCAGCAGATAATCCAGTTTACACATTAGTCTATAGCTTAAGAAAAATGGACCCTAACTTGATAAAAACAGTTTTTGTCAAAATGTTTATGTTATTATTAAGAGGGAAGACTGAAGTATTTTTTATTATTTTATTAAATTTTTTAATCCTTTCTAGTATGATTGAAATTTTGGTTAAAAATATTGTTTTTCTTGCATTAGCAGAGAAGAGAGGAAAACATTAGTATAGGAAATTTTAACATCTTTTTGTGGTAAAAACACATTGATTTGGAAATTCTTGCAAAAATCAAATAATTGTTAGATTTTAATTAAATTTTCAGAACTTATTCACAAATGAATTAAATTATTTTGGAAATTTTTTTTAGAAAAAATTTCTTTTTACATCTGTTACTTCCCAACTTATTTTTATGAAATTTCAAGAAATTAAAATTTCAGCCTCTTCATATTTATATTAGTTAAAAACAGAGATCCTTGGAGAATTTAAATCTTCATTTTTTGGGGTTTTTTTTTGTAATACAGAAACACCATTTATCAAAAAACTGCTCTGAATTGAAAAATAAAAAATGCAATAAAACTAAGACAATATTTAATTAGAAAAGCTTTAAAATTGCTTTTATAAATAAGATATATTAAAAACACTATTGTCTTAAGAAAAACATTTTTTCAATGAATAATGAATTTTTACAAGAATTGTTATCATCTTTTTAAATTTTAATTAGAGTAATTTATTAAGTTTTAATTTTTTTTAAATTCTGCATTAATTTCAGCCTTTTAGATGCTATTATTATTAAGTAAAAACTATATTTACTAATCATAATTGGAAAAACTTAGTACAAATCATCAAACACCAGTATTTTAAAAGAATTTTGAATTTTTTTGCATGTGTATAAACGTGCCAATTTTTGTAGATACAGATGTTCATACACAACATTATCAAAAAATAAGAGCAATAACTATAGTAAATTTAAAGCCCAAATATTTAAAATTCAATAAAATATTAGATTATGGAGAATATTTTCTTAAATTTTTAAGATTACTGAGTACTTAAAAATTATATATAAACAGCACTCATGTTGTATTGGTCAATTAATCTTTATGGATATAGCCCTGGTAGAACAATATTAGATAAACATCCAGCTATCAACATCTGAACAGCTTAAATAAACAGCTACTGCTGTATTAAAAGAAAAGTATTTCTGTGATATTTTAAACATAAAGTAAATAATATTTGTTTCAAATCAGATTAATTATACTTTAAATCAGCAAATATTTCCCAAATAGAGTTTCAGAAAAGTATATTTTATTTTTGGAAGATTTTTAATAAAAATTACATTATGATGAAAAACAACTGAAAAAGGGTGCTAATCAGCCATTTTTGCAAAAAAAAAAAACCTTCCAGTCAATTTAAATTAGTTTTTGAAATATAGCAAAGTATTTTGCTTATTGGAAATATTAAATTTAATTTATTAGCTTGGAATGAAAACTAAACTAAAAAAACCTTAAGAAATATTTTTCATTTTTGAAAATTCATTTTAAACCTTAGGTATTGCGTTTTCTGTGGAGGTATATAAGTATATATATATATATATATATATATATATATATATATATATATATATATATATATTATATGTATGTTTTAAATGTTTACCAACATTGATTAGTTAATACCAATTTTATTGTGAAAACATAAACTTGGATAATAAAATTTGAAATGGTGTTGTAATGAGTAGACAATGCTGAATATCAAATTTAGAAGCTTTATTCTACTAAACTGAACTGTTAGTAATTAGGCAGCTTTTATACAGATTGATTAGTATTGAAAATGGGTAGGTCAGGAGAGTTCATTAGTATGACAGCTGTATCTAAATCCTGGCAACATGGAGTAATTTTCATTCATCATGTTATATTTTGTTTACAAATCAATTGTTTAGCTTTTTACCCAAACCCTGAACATGTATTTTTATTGTTTTGGGGATTTTTATTTGTTTTTTTTATTTATCCGTTTCTCTTTTCATTCCAGTCTGCACACCCTCAGAAATGAGATGTATCTTCGTCAGACCCTTGAGAAACAGGCTACAATGCTTCACAGGGCAAACATCAATTATACAGTAAGGAATAAAAGAGTACAGTTAAAAGTGATCAGAATTCAGTCTCACTACCCATCTAAATTTTTTTTTACAATGATGTTCACCCTGTAGAAGATCCAAGAGCTACTTGAGCTAGAGCGTTACAGAGTAAAAGGCACAGTTTATGGAGATAACTGTTGACCCTAGACTTGCACAGGTTAAGATTGTAGTGCATAGGGAAGCATCCACATTGGAATCAGTTCCACAAAACAGCAGTTCATGGGAAAAAGCTGCTCAAGTCGAACTTCCATCTCACCAATGGTATATAAAGGGAGTGAGGGTGATTTGCTACAATGTACTTAGCATGACGATAAATGGTAGAACTGGGGGAACTAAGGAATCTAGTTCATCTGAACGCTTTCCATTGAAATAGAAATAGAGCAGTGAGAGGCTTACGACATTTCGTCTCTGAGACGGGGATTGTATGGTAGAAAATAATTTGTCACCTACAAGGACACAGAGATGCTATGTGACTATTAAAACTGGAAGGTAAAAATTAAGAAGCTCCTGTCCATATAACTAGTACTCCATTTTTGGCCTGATCTGGCTCTTGTAATGGTAGTGGATAGCAAGAGAAGTCAGGCACTTACTGGAGGAATACAGGGAACTGACCATTTTCCCAGCATCTTTAGCAATAGATCATATGTATGAGTTTTGAGGTTTTGGTCCCAATAGGCACTCAAGACAGTGGGCCCTGCTTGAGGGAACACCCTTCATTGTGATCAGCGACATTTCTGGGTCAGCTCAGCGATGATGACATGTCACCAGTTTGGTTTTCAAGGAGGGCTAAAGATAAATTGACCCATATATGAGAGCGTACTAAAAAGATTCTTGGCCTGATCAAGAAAATAATAATTCTTGTTTGATCATTTGGCCAGATTTTTAACTGTAGATCAGGCCAAAAGATTTTCCCTCCTTCTGCTTTTCCTTTTTCTTCTTCTTTGTGTCATTTCCCTTCAGAATATTTGCGATCATGGCTCTTTACATCTTCCTATCCTTTGTAGTTCTTAATAAAATTTAACCCTTTGCCAAGCCTCCCAACTCAATTCTGCCATCCATTCACACAAGCTCATCACATAGGTGGCTTGCTGTCTTACCCTATCCCTTTTGCTTTCAATATGTACTATTAAGTGTCAAAATCTCCAACCTTTCTTCCTCATTGTGCACTGAAGAAATTTGGGCTCTCTCTTTCTAATTCTATGTATCTTTTTTGTTTCCATTTTCCTTTAAGATTTTCTTTTGTATTCAACATTCTTTTCAGCATCCATCTGTAGAACCACATTTATAATGCCTCCAGTTTTCTCTTCATCTCTGAGGAGATTGTCGACCATTCATTGCCATATAAGAGGATTGATATTACAAAACAATTCAGCAATCTTTTCTTTGTTTCTAGCAAAATTCTCCCGTTTCATATTACTTTGCTTAGTTTTTGAAATCAATCTTTAACAATTCCATTGTGCCTTCAGATATTGATGTTGCATTTTCTGTTCTCTGACAGTGGAGTAATGGGTACAGCTCAGATTGAGGAATCGGACAGCAGGGTTCAAATTCCAGCCAGATCCATTACATTCACTTATGCACTAATACTCTTTGGAAAGATATGAATCCTCTTCTTCTCCCCCACCTCAGCTAGGGATAAATAACAGGACAGGCCAGGTTCTATAGCCTTGGATGGCAACTGGTCTACCGCAGAAAGAAATGGCAGCCGATTGTGGAGGAAAAAGTCATCAGTCATGTATCTTTCGATACATGATCACCTAGGTGTGTATCACACATGGCGCATAAGTGACTGAGATGTTTAGACTTCTTGTTTGATTCTGACCTCTTCAATTTGTATTTCACATCTTGGACTTTCTCTTGCTGATAACCAAATTTTCTGTCTTACAGTTGATGTTTAAATCTTTTCTTTTCACTTCTTTGATGACCCACTTGTAACACAATTTTTTCTTCTTCCTTTTATCTGTTGTGTCTTTTCAGGATGTGTGCTATTAAGGCTCTCCACAACTTCCTCTAAGCAATGTTTGCCTTCTTACTATCCATCCTAATCTATGTTCTGCTATCCAGTTACACTAGTTTTTTTTTAAGTTTATTATTCGTTGTTTTCCTCTGCCATTTTACCTCTGGAGAGATAACAAAAAGACAAAATTTATTTATAGATACAAAAGACAAGAAATTGTGGAGAGCCATGATCACATATGTCCTAAAAGGAATGCTACATAGAAGAAGAAGAATGAGCTTTAGTAAATTGATGGAGAACAAGGTTTGGGAGAGCTAACAGAAAGACAAAATTCATTAATAGCTATGAAGGACAGGAAATTGTGGAGAGCCATGATCACATATGTCCCAAAGGCAATGCAACATAGAAGAAAAAGAATGAACTTTAGTAAATTGATAGGAACAAGGTTTTGGAGAGATGATAAAAAGACAAAATTTATTAATAGCTACAAAGGACAGTATATTGTGGAGAGCATTATTGCCCATGTCCTGAAGGGACATGGTACATAGAAGAATGAGCTTTAGTAAATGGATGGTGGAACAAGGTTTTGGAGGGATAACAAAAGACAAAATTTATTAATAGCCAAAAAGGAGAGAAAACTATGGAAAGCCATAACCACCAATGTGCTGAAGGGAAATGGCACATAGAAGAAGAAGAATGAATAAAATAGTGTAATGTATGGGCAAGGGGTATAAAATTACACCAGTATTATCGATTTATAAAAATCTAGTATTAATAATAAACTTCGATTTATATCTCATTAAGGCCCACCATTCTAAAAGTGGAGAAGTAGACATTAATAGGTTAAATTAATTTAGATTTAATTAATATCTATTTGTGTATTAAATTAATTAATTATTTTTGTTTTGTAATCACTTTAATTATTTTATTGTTATTATCGTTTCATGAGAAACAATTAATATTAGATTTTTTAAAATTTTAAGAAAGTTTGAAAATGGCAACATTTAGAATTATATTGTAGAGTTGTACTTCAAATATATTTCTGCAGAGAGCAGATATTTTAAGAAAGCATATCGCAAAGGAAAAAAATGGGGAATAAATATGTGAACAAGATGTCAGTTTTTGATTCTGACAAATCAATAAAACCAAAATATGTAATGTAATATTTCAGGTCACTTAGTCTCTTTTTTGATTCTTCAATCACATATTTGTTAAAAGCAAAAAGAAATTATTCCCCACCTTAGTAAGTCATGTCAAAATAAACATAGTATTTCTACTACTTTGGTACACCATTGCTTCTTTTTCTTCCAATTCCAAAGGCAGTTTTTTTTTATTGTAAAAATATCTGTATTGTTACATTGAGGTAAATATAAAGAGATCAAAATATTATCAAAATAAAAAGAGATCAAAATATCAAAATATAAAGAGATCAAAATAATTTTTTTTTTTTTTTGTGACATTTTGCATTAAATAACAATCCATTTTTAAACAAGAATAAAAACAACGAATATGCAGACCATATACTGTACCATGCAAAAGTGTTAGGCTATTTTAGCAAGGCCTCCAATCAGGAGATTGGGGGTTTTCAGGAGCATAGAAATACCTCTTAATTATTGTTCCCAGATACAACCTGACCCGGGGTGGTAACACTGGTTAGAGTCCCAGCTATGGGTAAGTAGTCATCCCTTAATCTGGGGGTCAAATCACTGAAAGTATAAAAATACATTTTTATAATAAAAATACCAGCAATACATTTTCACAGTAAAAAAATTACCAACAATACATTTTTGTAAAAAAAATATTGCCAGCAATACATTTTTGTAAAAGAAATTACTGATGCTCACAAGAAAATTAAATTTCAGCATTAAATGACCTATAAGGAGTTGATAAGCTGTGAAACAAATACTTTTTGTTAGGTTATTTTAAATTATTGTAAATTTCTAATAACTGCCAACAAGTGGAGTGATTATATGGAAGTGATTGCTACATCTACTGCTAGGAAAGTTGGTTCACTGTGTTGTGCCAGACTAGTTTTCTTGTCAGAATCCATCTTTCACATTTGTAAATCTACTATTGGTCTGTGCATAGAATACTGCTGGCATATCTGGTCTGGTACACCTGCTATATATCTTGATATTCCTCAGTCTCTTTCCAACCAATGTGACATGGCTTCCCTCTGTATTTTCTACAAATATTTTCCTGGCAATTATTCTGGTGAGCTGTTCTCTTTAGTGCCTCAATTTTCATGCTACTAGATTGGCAAATAGGTTTCACCATTTTACCGTTAAACTAGCTAGATGTAACCATCAATTCTAGTCTAATCATTTCTTTTCTTGCACTTCTCACCTGTAAAACTTCTTTCCAATATCTTGCTTTCCTGTTACCTACAATCTTAAAAAAATTAAATGCAATATCAATCACAATCTGCTGTATTCTTGAAGCCTTTCCTTTATTATCTTTTTCTTCTGTTTGACTCACTGAAAACTTCTGCATTCTAGTGGCAACTTGCTTGGAGTGAAATAAAACCTTCAATATGAAAATATTAGACAGAATTAAAAGTATCTTTTTTTACAATCCTTTATTCCAATGCTTATTTCATATCCATATCTAAAGACCATTACTCTATAATGTCTCCACAAAAGGTATAAATCAAACTTTCCTAGCACTATCCCATATGGGATTTTTAATGACTTCCACATCAAGTCAGGCAGCTGACAAGGAAGAAACAATTGAATAGTTTAAAGATATGTTATATACAACAATAATATATAAATCAAAACATGAAATGAGAGAGTTGCTAAAAAACATTCTTTTAGCAGGTATAGGCAAACAATTGGGTCAGTTCCAGCACATTTCAGTTAGAAACAGTTTGTTAAACTGTCCTTCAAACAAAGGTTGTTTGTCTCGGGCCATCTGGAAGTTTTAAACACATATCTTCTCTTTAGAAGCAGGACTTCTAATTTTCACTGGTTTAGGTGCTGTTCCCCTGGAGGCAACTAAAGACGTCTGTCTCCTTCAAGATCCTTCAAGATCTTGTGCTGCTTTTACTTAGCATTCATAATTATGCGCCTAATCTTATTTGGAATGAAGACTGGGTTATACCATTAAAAGTAGATAATATAATCTTCCACTAGTAGCAAAAGCAAGGGGAAATAACCTAATTTCTTATAATCATAGTGTACAGAGAAAAATATCTTCCACCAAGTAACTGACTTCCTTTTGTCTGCTAAAAAAACGATGAAACCCCATTTGCATAGACAAAACATTGCAAGCCCCTCTACTCTATCACTTTTTCTATGGCAAATTGTCAAATGAGTTACATTACCTAGTTTCACTAGCTTCTCAGCTAGGAATTGCCATGCCATGTTCACAGGATTGAATCATCCTCATTCCCTTCATATTCCATTGGTAAGGAGGAAGTTCTGCTTAGACAGCTTCTTCCATAGAACTGTCACTTTGTGGAACAGACTCCTGAGAGGGCGCTTCACTAATCATTACAATCTTAACCTCTCCAAGTCTAGGATAAACTGTTATCTATCTTACATATCCTCATAATATGCATTTCATACTTCCTATCTTTACACTGTTACAACAATCTCATTCAGTAACTCTCTACCTTGAGTGGCTTTTGGGCCTTGTATTTGGTTAATAATAGCATAAAATTATGCAAAATCCTGATTATACAGTCCATGGCATCTAAACAACTGTCTGCGGTCATGGAACATACTTTATGACCACTCTCCACTGAATTTAACTAAATAGCTTCAGAAATGCCAAGCATTTAGTGCTGTGGTTCTCAACCCTTTTTTACCCGTAGACTACTTTTAAATTTAATTTTTTTAGTGGACCCCCATAACTGTTTAATGAAAGAAAAGCTTATTTTATTTTTTACTAATAGATAAGTTTAAGAATTGTATTATAGAAATAGTAAATGTATATACTTTATTTTGAAGTAAAACTAATTTCATGAAAATAAACTTGTATTTAACAACTAAATTCTGTGGAACATTTATGTCAGTTAGTTATGTGCCATGCGTGATGCATGGTTAGGTGATCACATATCTTTTGATACATGACTGATGAGGCAGATTATTTTTTTCCCTTCAGTAGGTTGCCATTTTTTACTGTGGTAGACCAGTTGTCATCCAAGGCTATAGAGCCTGGTCTGTCCTTCTATTTACCCATAGCTGGGGGATATATACATTTATGTATACTAGTAAAATAACTCATAGTAAACCATTTTTTAAAATGAACCCTGTGAACTCCAGTAATGCTACATGGACCCTGGTCGAGAACCACTAATTTAAAGGAAGAATAAGGTTGTTTTTACAGTTTATTACATATTTCAATATTTGAGGTAATTATTTCAAAGCTTGATGGATTATATGTATGTCCCACCTTATTTAATTTTATACATTTTAACTCATATGAAATATTTTTAGGATTTTAAGTTAGTGTTCCATTTACCGAGCATGCTCCAAGGTGGAAGTAGCATAGCAATAGGATTCAAGATGGCTGATATTTATCATCAACTTATTAAATGCATTATTTTTTTAACAAAACAATTAAATTAAATTTCCAAAATTTATATTTTTAAAAGAAAAATGCTTATCATTTACCTTTAATCATCAAACACATTCTCTTTGTTGTCTTCTTCTACATCTTTATTTGGGTTGTATACAGTTTTTAATATTTCCAAAAACTTCAGATTGAAGGTACTTTTTTTGGAACTTATTCTATGAAATATGATAAATGTACAAGTGGCATTTTAACTTAATTACTGATAATTTGTATAAGAATGACAAGTTAGTTTACAGAATAGATGTAGTGGTATAAAATCTATTAGTCACAACTGTTTTGCTAGTTCACACACTCACACTCTTTTGGGTCCTGTCACTGGATCTAACTAATGCCTTTATCTACTGTGCCATATGTCCTTGAGTGTGAGTTCAATACCTGGTTAAGGCAGCAGAGAATTTGGAGAGGGGAATTAATAGGAAATAACTGATAACTGACATCCTTTAGACATGGCACATGGAACTAGAACCGTCTACCCCAGCGAGCGAAATAAAGGGTTCAGTTTGACATACAACAACCAAAACGTTGTGATAAATATGGCAACAAAGATGAGGACAATAGTCCAAACAATGTAAATAGTGATCTGGATTTTATTTCATGTTAACTTTCTTATAAGGAGGCACAGTGGGGTCATGGATAGAGGAATCAGAGAGCTGAATTCAAATTCCAGTTGAGCTCATTACATTCTTTTCTATGCTAATACTCTTGGAATTGTTATGAATCCATCTTTTCTTGCCCCCCAGCTATGGGTAAATAGCAGGACAGACTGGGAACTATAGCCTTGGGTGACAACCAGTGTAGGAAATACACAACTCAGAATTCAAAACCTGAAGTATTAGTTTATGAACTGAGGGTGGCCCATACTATGTTCCATGGTCTTCAGCAGTCTATCAAGAGCTTGGAGAAGAGATGGGCACTGCCAAGTTATCTGAAAGGATCATGGGGAAGAAGAATTAAAGTCTGTTTTTTCTGGCCTCAGGTCTTCCCCACCCCGACAACTGAAGCAGTCAAGGGTTAAAAAAGACTTTCTTATTGATGACTAGTAATATAACCCATCTTTGGCTGGGTCTTTCATTACTGGGAATTTTTGCCGTTCAATTCAAGCAGTTTAAGCCTAAAGTCAGCCCACCCAAAAATCAATATTAGTAACAATATTTGGGTGCAACTGAGGCACATCCCCAAAGAGGCGGAGGAGGAGGGGGTAACAATTTGAATGGGGGGCGCTGAAAAGGGAACTGTATAATAATAAATAATATTATTGTAATAATTTAAAGTATTTATTTTTGTTAAAGGTTTTATGAAAGATATATATCCAAAAACAAATATTAAGTAGTAAAATGTTGCTGAGAGTTATAATGGACAGGAAATAGTGGAGAGCCATTGTCACCAACAATATGATCAAACACACACACATACATATATACACACATTTTGAGAATTATAGATATAATAGAGTTTTTTGTTTTTTTTACTAAATTTCACCCAATGCAAACAAAGCCTAAAAGCCAGTCAAGGTAGAGAGTTACTGAATGAGGCGTGTGATATGAACATAAGAGGGGAAAATCAAAGTGAAGATTATAAAGATATAGCAGATAGATAGCATTTGATCCTAGACTTGGAGTGGTTAAGATTTTAGTGCTCAGGGAAGCATCCACGTGGGAGTCAGTGATAAAAACAAAAGACTCAGTAAACTTATTTACATCTTGGTCATAAAAGCAAATTTTTAACAATTTTCTTTCTTATATTTTATACTGTTTACAGTTTTATGTCTTTTTTTTTTTTAAGGGAAGGCCTGAAATACCTGAAGAGCCACTCGAAGCCAAATTAATTGTAAGTTCCTTTTAACAACTTGATAAAAATATTTCTCCTCAACACCTCAAAATGAACTCCAGCTTGAACAATCATAAACATTGAATTGTTCAAAAAGTTTCTTCTATGTTTGTCTTTAGATGGTATTAGGAGTGTTTAGTTTTAACTAATTAAATTAAAAAAAAGATTGCTTTTGAACTGTGATATCTGTTATATGAGCCTGTTATCATCATCAGTCTCATGATTGGGTGCAGTTGCAAGGTCACTGAGCAGCTGAGCACCTGACCAGTTTCCTCTCTATATCTATGTTGAAAGCCAGAGAGTTCATTCATTCATGCATAACATATCTTGGGCAAACAGACCTGGGAAAGAGCTTATTCCTTTCCAGGTCAAGCTACAGCTTATGTCCTCCAACCTGAAGGCTCACTTTGGTCAAAAACAGATGACAGTTGATTCCATTGGAGGTACACTCTAACCTGGCTATCAACTTTCAGTCTAGGATTGCTCTCTGCTCAGCTACTCCGCATCATCAATACACTGACTGCATACATAACTATGGAGCCCAGCCTACCATATTGCGCTAGTTGGCTGTTTACTCAACAGGAAGATTTAGACACCCTTTGATAATATTGTTTTTAATCTGCTGGCTGTCTAGCATACACACCACCCGCACCCACATATGCACACAATGGAAAGAGATGAGCCAGCAGCTGCCAACCAAGGCCTTGTCCATATATTGAAAAGCCGCCTGCTGAAAGAACTAATTTAGTTAGTGATGATCAAAACATGTAGCAGGTAGTGTTAGGTAACATGGTATCCATAGCACTTGTAGAGTCACCTGAAATAATATTATAATGACAATGTGAGTCTATATTTGTTTTAAATTGTCAAACTAGCATATTTTTGGTTATATTTATACTAATATTTCAGTATAGAAGGCTCATTTATTTTAAAAAAAGAAAAAAAAATGTGACTCAAATGCAAAAATGGTTTTGTCTGGATCTGTCTACCCAGGTTTTTGTTTTTACCTCAGTGTCAGGATTCCAAACATTTAACAACACATCTTTCAAATGAAACATATAAAATGTTATTTTCTAGAGGAAAATAGTAGCAGAATGTCATTTGAAATAACATTTATATATTCTTTTCAGAAATATACAATAACAATAAAATGTTCAATTTCACCTGCAGTGAAGTTTGTTTTTATCAAGTACCATATATACTTGCATATCAGACAGTTTTTGAAGTTAATTTGCCTGCAGTAAATGGATATATAGTTTGCTAAATGGTATAGCCAAGGCCAGCAGTACATACACTAATTTTATATCTCATGTATGAAGCGACTACCTTAAAATAAGATTCAAAATTAGGTCTTCAAAAGCCACATGATACATGAGTATATATGGTAAGTGTTTGTAGTGCAATGTTAGATGTATGGACAGGCTTACTTTATGACGATCAGCCTAATGTTTCTGTCAATACATGGACAAGGCCTTAATCGGAAGTTGCTGGCTCATCTCTTCCATTGTGTGCATGTGTGGGTGTGAATGATGTGTATGCACATGTAGATCAAACCGGCCTCCAAAATTGTTTGGAACCCCATGAAGCAGTATGCTTCTATTTTTATATCCATAAGGGAGATTCAAAATCTAATTTCACATGGAGGTGTGAACTTTTTGAATATAAGGTTTTCATTAGTTAAAAAATAATTTCTCACTGGCTTGCAAAAATCTTTTTCTCAAATTTGCAGGAGTGATGAAAGTTACTTCTGATGGGATTTTATTGGTTGAAAAGTATATGTAGAATTTAATTCCTATAGTTTCTCTGATTTATAGAGAAGTTATTGTGAATGACTAAATGTCTCAGAAATAGATTACAAAGTTTTTGGCTGTAAATTTCTTGCTCAATAACAATTTGTAGTCAAATAGGCCAGGTGAGTTTGATAAGATTTAAATGAAGATATTATACAGAGTGCCCCAGAAGTAACTCTCTATTTCAATGAAATCAAGCAAATTTTAAAAAAAACTGACATAATTTTATGTTTATTACTTAATTATGATACAAAACAAATAGATTTATAAAGATAATGTCAAAACCTTATTGAAAATTTTTAGCATATGCTCCATCTGTATCCCTGCCCATTTCAAATCTATCCTTAGCATTATGAAACACATTTTGAAGCATATGCTCCATCTGTATCCCTGCCCATTTCAAATCTATCCTTAGCATTATGAAACACATTTAGCATATCTGTATCCCCCATTTCAAATCTATCCTTAGCATTATGAAACACATTTTGAAGCATTTCCATCTGTATCCCTGCCCAGTTTATGAAACACATTTTGAAGCATATGCTCCATCTGTATATTTCAAATCTATCCTAGCATTATGAAACACATTTTGAAGCATATGATCTGTATCCCTGCCCATTTCAAATCTATCCTTAGCATTATGAAACACATTTTGAATGTTTAAAAATCTATCCTTAGCATTATGAAACATTTGAAGTTTGTAAAAAACACATTTTAAAGATATGGTATCCCTGCCCATTTCAAATATCCTAGTATTATGAAACCATTTTGAAGGATCTGTATCCCTGCCCATTTCAAATCTATCCTTAGCATTATGAAACACATTTTTGAAGCATATAGTGCTCCATCTGTATCCATCCATTTCAATCTATCCTTAGCATTATGAAACACATTTTGAAGCATTGCTCCATCTGTATCCCCTGCCCATTTCAAATTATTTTATGAAACACATTTTGAAGCATATGCTCCATCTGTATCCCTGCCCATTTCAAATCTATCCTTAGCATTATGAAACACATTTTGAAAATAATATGCTCCATCTGTATCCCTGCCCATTTCAAATCTATCCTTAGCATTATGAAACACATTTTGAAGCATATTATCTGTATCCCTGCCCATTTCAAATCTATCCTTAGCATTATGAAACACATTTTGAAGCATATGCTCCATCTGTATCCCTGCCCATTTCAAATCTATCCTTAGCATTATGAAACACATTTTTGAACATCTGAATTTCAAATCTATCCTTAGCATTATGAAACACATTTTGAAGCATATGCTCCATCTGTATCCCTGCCCATTTCAAAAAAATCCTTAGCATTATGAAACACATTTTGAAGCATATGGCATCATCTGTATCCCTTTCAAATCTAATAATAGCATTATTAAACACATTTTTGAAGCATATGCTCCATCTGTATCCCTGCCCATTTCAAATCTATCCTTAGCATTATGAAACACATTTGAAGCATATGCTCCATCTGTATCCCTGCCCATTTCAAATCTATCCTTAGCATTATGAAACACATTTTATATATATATATGCCTCCATCTGTATCCCTGCCCATTTCAAATCTATCCTTAGCATTATGAAACACATTTTGAAGCATGATCTGTATCCCTGCCCATTTCAAATCTATCCCTTAGCATTATGAAACACATTTTGAAGCATATGCTCCATCTGTATCCCTGCCCATTTCAAATCTATCCTTAGCATTATAGAAACACATTTTGAAGCATATGCTCCATCTGTATCCCTAAAATATCCTTAGCATTATGAAACACATTTTGAAGCATATTCTGTATCCCTGCCCATTTCAAATCTATCCTAGCTTATGACATTTTGAACTCCATCTGTATCCCTGCCCATTTCAAATCTATCCTTAGCATTATGAAACACATTTTGAAGTATATGCTCCATCTGTATCCCTGCCCATTTTGAAATCTATCCTTAGCATTATGAAACACATTTTGAAGCATATGATCTGTATCCCTGCCCATTTCAAATCTATCCTTAGCATTATGAAACACATTTTGAAAAATGTAAATGTATCCCTGCCCATTTCAAATCTATCCTTAGCATTATGAAACACATTTTTAAACATATGCTCCATCTGTATCCTTTTCAAATCAAACACATTTTGAAGCATATGCTCCATCTGTATCCCTGCCCATTTCAAATCTATCCTTAGCATTATGAAACACATTTTGAAGCATATGCTCCATCTGTATCCCTGCCCATTTCAAATCTATCCTTAGCATTATGAAACACATTTTGAAGCATATGCTCCATCTGTATCCCTGCCCATTTCAAATCTATCCTTAGCATTATGAAACACATTTTGAAGCATATGCTCCATCTGTATCCCTGCCCATTTCAAATCTATCCTTAGCATTATTTATCTGTATCCCTGCCCATTTCAAATCTATCCTTAGCATTATGAAACATTTTGAAGCATATGCTCCATCTGTATCCCTGCCCATTTCAAATCTATCCTTAGATTATGAAACACATTTTGAAGCCATCTGTATCCCTGCCCATTTCAAATCTAAGATTATCACATTTTGAAGATGCTCCATCTGTATCCTGCCCATTTCAAATCTATCCTTAGCATTATGAAACACATTTTGATGCATATTTATCTGTATCCCTGCCCATTTCAAATCTATCCTTAGCATTATGTTTGAAGCATATGCTCCATCTGTGGGCCCATTTCAAATCTATCCTTAGCATTATAACATTTTGAAGCATATGAATCCTTAGCATTATGAAACACATTTTGAAGCATATGTCCATCTGTATCCCTGCCCATTTCAAATCATCCTTAGTTATGGGAAGCATATGCTCCATCTGTATCCCTGCCCATTTCAAATCTATCCTTAGCATTATGAAACACATTTTTAGATAGTATATGCTCCATCTGTATCCCTGCCCATTTCAAATCTATCCTTAGCATTTTTAAACACATTTTGAAGCATATGCTCCATCTGTATCCCTGCCCATTTCAAATCTATCCTTAGCATTATTTTTGAAGCATATTCATCTGTATCCCTAAAATCTATCCTTAGCATTATGAAACACACATATGCTGCCCATTTCAAATCTATCCTTAGCATTATGAAACACATTTTGAAGCATATGCTCCATCTGTATCCCTGCATTATGAAACACATTTTGAAGCATATGCTCCATCTGTATCCCTGCCCACAAATCTATCCTTAGCATTATGAAAACACATTTTGCATATGCTCCATCTGTATCCCTGCCCATTTCAAATCTATCCTTAGCATTATGAAACACATTTTGAAGCATATGCTTCTGTTAGGATTTCAAATCTATCCTTATTATGAAAAACACATTTTGAAGCATATGCCCATATATCCCTGCCCATTTCAAATCTATCCTTAGCATTATGAAACACATTTTGAAGCATTTCAGGAGTTATGCTGATCACGTATTAAATATGATGAACAGAAATAAAAGTGAGTTTTTAAAAAAAAACTTGTTTGAATTCACTGAGATATAGATAATTAAACTTAGGATACCCTGTATAAAAATAATCAACATTTTGCTGCAATGTGAGATGGTAATATTAGCCATTAAGGAAACATTCAGCATACACTGACCAACCAGCCAGTACTACTTGAGTTACACTTTTCTTTACTCACTGGCCATCGGGCTGGGATCAAAAGGGCAGATAAACTAAATTTTGTTTTTCAACTATGTCTCTGTCTTTGGACAGAATGCAACACAGTTATGTGTCTGTCTGCAGTACAACTGAAAATATTATTAAAAGGTGCTCAGTCCCAAGAAACAGCTGCCCACAGCAGTACCACCATCATTGTACTAAAGAGGAGTGATATCAGTAGTAATACCAATACCAGCACAACTGATGTTTTGCAGAGACTGAGCTATTTCGGGACCTGACACAGCTGCACATACTCAGGCTCTCCACATTAAACTGACCTTGTGTCACATCCTTGACAGAGTAGACAAATTACATTTTATCTCTCAATTGTGTTTCTGTCTTTGGGTAGAACACACAAGGGGTGCCTGGTCCTGATGATTCCAATCCTGCATCAACACCTCCAAAGAAGGAAGAATCAGTGGAATATCAATGTCTGTACAATGTTGGCTGAAGGGACTGGACAATTTTTGGCCTAAAACCATGTGTATGCATTTGGGCTCCCCACTTTAAATCAGCCTTGTGCCATATCCTACCAAAGTTGGTGGGAGTGGGAGTAAATAGTATAGTATAGTACTTGTTGTACAAATCTGTAATGGTAATGTTAATAGCTGTTTTCTTATGAAATATTTAGCATTCATTGACTAAACAGCCAGTGCTACTCTCAGTTTGCGTTTGGTAGCAACTTGCTGTGGCATACAAAACTAACTCTAGAGCAATCTACTGTAGCTTCAATACCCTTATCTTCTATACTAATTTTGTTATAACTGTTTCATACACTGAGATATATGAAGTATTTAGTATTTACCAATTCTACATCCCAAATTTTTATGATGGATTCAAGGTTAGTGCCATCTCTGCTTTTATTCCAATTCCAGATCATAGTTTTTGTTTTGGAAAGATTTATCTTGAGTCCTATTTCTTGGAACACTCAATAAAGGATTTTGATTTTTTGTTCAAGATCATTCTTATCCTATGAATACCTGTCATAAGCAAAGCCCCCACCTCATCATCAGTACATTGTCCTCCAGATCAAACACTGAAAATCATTTGCACCAACTTGGTTATGTTAGTCGCTTTGATGTGGAGCTTCCACATCAGTAAAATAAAAATCTACTGAATACTACCTTCCATCTTTACACAAATTATGAAATACAATGAAAAGTGAATATAGTATAGAATGCCAGAGATCAAGGTGCAAGTAAAATTAACTCTCTTCTTCTATTAGCAATCATGACTCTTTACAACTTCCTATCCTGGTTCATTAGTCAGGACATATTATCTTTATCTAAACCTCTGGAAAACCTAAAGCAGAACATATCATTTACACTGTTTTAAAAAATGAGTGTCAACTCAGACGCATGTATCCACTTAATATAACATTTATAGTAATAAGATATATATATATATATATATATATATATATATATATATATAATTAAGTAACTCATCAAGTCTAGAAGAAACCTCAACAGAATGCAGAAAGAATTATAATTATCTCAAATTGTCTTAATAATTTCTATCACTTGTATATCCTTGCTTGAACCAGATTTTAATGCCCTGGATGGAGCAGCTTGGGGATATTAGTCATGGCTCGTGGGGGCACAGACCTATAGGGTAAGGGAAACTCGGATGAGTTCCACCATGGAATATGTTATTGAGCAGTGCTATATTGAGTCTAATTTGCTACCTCTTCATCATTGAGGCCCGTTGGTATGATGTTTGCCTGACAACATAACTGCCCAGGTTTCAATTCTCGGTAGTGGATGTGCGCTGCTGATGAGTCCCAAATATAGGGCCAAACAGCCATCCAGTTCTTTCTGCATTCTGTTGAGGTTTCTTCTAGACTCGATAAATTACTTAATTATAATTATCTCAAATCCTCCTAAAAATTTCTATCATATATATATATATATATATATATAAAACTGGCTTTACATTTCTAAGAACAACCATCTGATAGAGTGGCTAGCTAATCTCTGTTGCTGATACCTGCTCAGGCACATTTGTGTTTCATCAACACATAGAGAGCTAAATGATGCTTTATACTGCAACTATGCTGAATGAGCTTTACTTACCCTGAAATACACACACACACACACACACACACATTTTATTGGTATCATTCCATAAAATCAGTAAGACATAAAGGGGTTACAGGTTGTGGAAGAATTAGGAACAGAAACATTAATAATGAGCAGGAGGAGAAAAGAATAATCATGAAGACAGTAAACTATTGATATTGCATTTAAATATTTGCAGATTAAATTTGGCTATATTAGTGTGTGTGTGTGTGTGTGTGTACTATTATACTTAAAAAACAAAGTGTCTACTCAAATATGCGTGTCCACTAAATGTAACAATTATAATAAGAAATACTGTCACAGTAAAAATCTATTAATTCCTTAGATATTACTATTTATACTCATTTTCATGGAATTGTTTTGATGAAAAGATAAATGTCACTTCCCTGGAAGACTACAAAAGATACCTACAACAGTTCTTTACCCAGAAAGATAAAAATGTTTGGGAGGATAGAATTATAAAGTTGGTTGTAAATGGTTGAAGATAGAAGAATCAAATGGTAATTTTGTTACTTCAATCAGTTAAGTGCTATACATGATAAATGCATGCATGATCATGTATCTTCTAATACATGACTGACAAGGCAGAAAATTTTTCCTGCAGTAGGTTACCATTTCAGTAGACTGGTTGCCAATCAAGGCTAAAGACTCCAGTCTGTCCTGCTAATCAACCAATAGCTGGGGGAAGAAGAGATGGATTCGTACCTTTCCAAAGGGCATTTGCGTGTAAGTGAATCTAATGAACACAACTGGAATTTGAACTCAGGTCTCCGAGTTTTCAGTCTGAACCGATATCCATTACACCACAACACACTTAATAAACCTGGAAAAAAGGTTGGGGTTTTTTTTTACCTAATAAACCAAATTAATTTTTAATGTTTTTTCCATTATCTTCTATTGTTCAGTATAAAAATTATTCAGCAAACTTGGACCTTTGTGTCTGAAAAAAAAAACTGTGTCAGAAGGACATTTTTTTTCATTGACACCACTATTATTTTAACTACCTTCACTCCTCAGCAATTTTATTGTTTTAAAAAGTGATGATTAGAATTTTAATAAAACTTAAACATATGACAAAAGTTCATTTATACATTTTCTTTATTCTTGAGAAATTAAAATAAAAATATTAAACACTATTTATTTATTAGAGCCCACCTGTGTTTTATACTGCAACTATTCTGAGTGAACCTTAGTTACAGTTTCTGAGAGAGATTGCATTATCTGGTGTGATCAACAGCATGAACAAGGCCAGTACACTCAAGCTCTCAGTTGCGATGACTTGTGACTTCATGCTAGTACAACTATCAATGGTTCCCAAACAGTTCAGTCAGTCATCCCATTGCATGTTTTTCAAACACTTTACAAAGGTGCCACACACTGGGATTGAACCTCTTAGGCCAATAACATCAAGAAGTTACCTTCTTGTCAAATTGACCATGATGAAATTCAAATCCAGTTTTTATGGTCAGAAAGCAAACATTTTCACCACTCACCCACATGCTCATTCCAATCAATACTTTAAAAAACAGGTAATGTAATATAATTATAGATGCATTAGTCTTTCTTAAATATAAAAGTCATATACAAAATTTTTAATTAAAAAGTGGAACACAAGTTTTTCATTAAATTTTATGTTTGAGAGTACATTCTTTACCAAATTCAGATATCTGGTTAATAATCTTGTAAATATGAAATTAATCTTGTAAATAAACAATTTAGCAGCTAAATAGTTTTTCTTGTGATTAAAATTCTAAATATTTTTCTTGTGATTAAAATTCTAAGCATAGCCTTTTAAAACAATCAACCTTAACAAGAAAGTCAACAGTGTTTACAAAATTAACAGTGTCAAGAGAAAACCTGTCCTAAACCATATTTTTTACTGGTACAAAGGTTAAACTTTGCCTTATTTCAATTCCTTTTGTTTGATGCTTGTGCCAATTAAAGTGAAAAGTTTTCATATTTTTTCCTTACAGTTCATGTCATCATTTTGATAATGAACTAACTTTTCCTTTGTTTCTTTTGCAGCCTTCTAACCAAAATCCAGATAATCGGCTTCCTGCCAAGACCAACACCATGTTGCCAGTCATACAAGATATTAACCAGGAGTTATCTGCGCTTTTAGAAGCACATGGTCAGCATTCAAAAAAGCTTTTTTGACATTTTGATTAGTTGTTTTATATTGATTCCCTCTTCTTTAAATATCTACCTTCATATATTCTCATTGTGATTTTGTCTATTTTCACATTGCTCTCTCTATGAATTATGTCCCCCTCAAGATATAGGTGATCATGGTTCTCCACAACTTCCTGTCTTCTGTCATTCTAAATAATTCTTACTCCTTTACAACATCTGTTTGACTCTGTAGTACTTATTTCACCATCCATTTACTTAAATTTGGCAAATAGGTAACTCACTGCTTTCCTCTGCTCTTCTTGCATTTTATGGGCTCTTTCAGTGTTAAATTCTCCAAACCTTCTTTTCTTATTATGCATTCTTGAAAGTTTCATTAATCCCTTTCTAGCAGCAGTCTCTTTGTAATTCCTGTTTTCCTATGTTATCCTCAGCATTCACGGATAAAAATACACTCTTGCTACTTCAAGTTTTTCTTCATTTTCAATGGAATTGTTCAATATTCACTGCTATATAGTTAGGTAGTCATTATATAACAGTTCAGCATCATTTTCTTCAATTTTAATATTATTTTTCAACCCCTTACTTCTTCTATATACTGTTTCCCTTCAGAATGTGGGCAACCATGGTTCTCCACAACTTCCTGTCCTTTGAAGCTCTTAGTAAGTTTTATTATTTTTTTTTTGCTGTTTCACCAAATCCCTGTCCTGCCAACCAGTTCCTCTTGCATTCAACATGTCCTGTAAGTGTTAAATTCTCCAAGCCCTCTTCATTATGTAACTTAAAAATTTCAATTGCATCTTTCTTATTCTAAATATAAGTGTCCTTTTTGTTTACATTTTCTCTAAAACTTTCTTGATGCTCACATGTTCAGTCCATGGTATTCTCAGCATCCTTCTGTAGAACCACATTTCTGGTGTTTCAAGTTTCATCTTCATCTGTGAAGAGATTGTCCAGCATTCACTGTTATATAGGGGGACTGATATTAAACCATCTTTTACTATTCCTATGCATTTTTTTACACTAAGTTTCACCATGTATAAGGCTCAGGGGTCACTCAAGGTAGAGTGTTACATTAAGGGATAGTTTATATGGATAGGAGAGGAAAATAACAGTTAACTCCAGGCTCAAACAGGTTAAGATTGTAGTGATTGGGGAAGCATCTTTCTGGGAGTCTGTTCTACGGAGCATTGGTTCGCAGAAAGAAGTTGTTCAAATGGAACTCATATATCCAATCTTTTTTTTTACAGTAAGGTTCACCCTGTACAAAGCCCAGAGTCCATTGAGGTAAAGGGTTATATTAAGGAGTCGTTTATATGGATAAGAGAGGAAGATAATGTTTAACTCTAGACTTGAACTTGTTAAGATTGTAGTGAATGGGGAAATATCCTCTTCAAAGCCTTTTCCATAGGGCAGTGGTTCATAGGAAGAAGCTGTTTGAGTGGAACTTACTTCCTGCCAATGGAATACGAAGGGAATGTGGGTGGTTTGCTACTATGTAAGTGGTATGGTGGATCCTAACTGTGAAAGTCAGACTTGGTGGAACCAGGAGATGCAGTTTGTATTTAGATTTCTATGTCACACTTTCTGTCATATGCTATTACACTATACACCTAGTTGAAGTTCTATATGTGCTTGATTTTGACATTCCCAATGTGTAACTCACACCATGAACTGTCCTTTTTGCTCATAACCATATATTCCTTTTTTTTCTTTTTCTTTTTCTTTTTTATTCATTTCACCACAAGCAAAGCAATAAAGCCACTAAGATGCAAGAAGCTACTGAATGTGAAAGAATATGAGAAAATGAAAAACATAATTAGGGAGAGAGGAAAATAAGTTATATTACCAGAGTGTTATGGAAGTCATTAGTTTGTAGCAGTGTTGGAGAGAGATATATATTTATATGATAAACTTTAGTGGAAATATTATTGTGTTTGGGAGATATATATATATTTATACGATAGGTTAATATATTGTATTGAATAGAGGGATACAAGGGTGGCCTGAAAAGTTCATAAGCTCACTACAAAGGAGTGATGCTAGAGCTGTGAAGTCTTGCATACATTAATTTCAACTCTTCTTATTAATAACTGCATTGTTTCTTTACAGGTAAGGTGACATCTGACTGTCCAAAGAAGACTTCAAAAGTAACAAGTAGTGACTTCTCTTGAAAATGGACAAAATTTGGCATTATGGTGTTATCAAGTACCTGCAGAAAAAGGGTTTAGCTTCCAAGGACATTCATGCTGAAATAGTTGCCACATAAGGGAATGATGCCCCAGCTGCACAATGAATTTGGCATGACAAAGTTTTCTACTTGGTGGGTGCCACATCTTCTGACACATTATCTAAAACATACCAGGCTGATCACATCACAGGAAAATCTGACATTGTTTGAAGCAGATCCAGTTGGTTTCCTAATCTAGAATGAGTGTTAGGTTCATCACTTTGAGCCAAAGATAAAGAGGCACAATTCATGTAATAGAAACACCTCTCCTCACCTTCTCCAAAGAAGATCAAGTTCATTTCATGTGCAGGGAAGATGATGGTCTCAGTTTTTTGAGATGCAGAAGGCATTGTGTTTATTGATTATCTTCAATATAGTGTACTATGCCAATTGCTGAGGCAGTTATGAAAGGCTATCAAGACCAAACGCCTAATAAAGTTGATAAATGGGGTTTCATTTGATCAAGACAATGCTCCAGCACACAAATCCTTGGTTTCACTGGATTCTGTTCATGACTGTGGCTTTGAATTGATTGATCATCATCCCTATTCTCCTGATTTGACTATCATCTGTTTTCCAAAATTAAAAAACACTTGGCTGGGAACCAGTATTGCAGTGATGATGATGATCTGATGTTGATAACTTTTTGACCAACAGAAGGAACAGTCTTCTTATAACAGTCAGATGGCAGTTCAGCTGGAAACAAATAATGCAGTTATTAATAAGAAGAGTTAAAATTAATGCATGGAACATTTCACAGCTCTAACATCACTCCTTCATAGTCAGCCTATTCAAATTTCAGCCCACCTTTGTATTTATGTGATAGGTTGCAGTAGAGATATTATTGCAATGATATCTCCACTGCAACCTATCACATTGGATATATATATATATATATATATATATATATATATAATAGTTCTGTCTGTTTCTTGGGATATATTGTCTTGTTTAGATATAATCAGATATTGTTCATCCTGTTTCCACTGAGACCAAATATATCTACATTATCCAACCCAGAGATTGTACTCACAATTACTATGACAACATGGTTGCAAAAACAACATTAGTTTTAAGTCTCCAAATTCTAACTTCATGATTGTACTGCAAGATAATGACCTACAACAGTGATTTTCAACTAATGTGTCACTGCATTTTGGTGTACTGTGAGATGATCATATATATGCCCTGAAGGTTTTTAAAAGTCATTAATTAAGTTATTTCCACATGAAGTCCAAAGCACAATATGTGTGCATAACAAAATTAAAAATCCCTTTATATTGATTAAAAATGTATATTATTGTTATAATAATAAATATATACATAATATATAAAATAATGTAAAATGCCAGCTTTTATGCAATAAAAAATATTAAAAACAAAAAATTGATCATGGCTAGAATCCTTGGAAAAAAAATTTAAGAGTATGACTGTTTAAAATTCAACTTTGCAAAGAAGATATTCTAAAAAAATGTCAATCTCAAATATCTCATTAAATGTTAAATTATAAAAAACAAAAAAATGAATATATATTTTTTTTTAAATTTTAATTATCTTTTTATTATAAATTATAGTAAATTGTTTTGTTTGCGTTGATAAATAAATCATAACAAAAACTATACTCTCTTTTTTTGATCATCATAATTTAAGTATGCTATGGAAGTTTAATTCTAGGTTCATGTGTGCTGTGGATGTTTGACTCCAGGTTCAAATATGCTGCAGATGTTTAACTTTGGGTTCAAGTGTGCTACAGTTTTTTAATTCAAGGTTCAAGAGTCCCACAGGTGTTTAACTCTATGGTCAATTGTGCTGTGAGATAAAAGAAAAGGTTGAAAAACATTGACCTACAGGATAAAATGTTGGTTAGTGAATTTTACTCAATCCCTGGTTTGGGTCATAAACGAAGAACCATTAATATCTTAAAATTATCTGATGAACTAAGTCTTTGAAAAACTTTTAAATGTTTCTGTATTTTTTTCCTTTCTTTTTAATTCAGGTTGGTGGAAAAAATAGTCATCATCTATAGACGTGTGGAAACCCATCTACACTTGCGATAATGGCCGATGAATAAATATGATTATTGGACCCCAAAATTATGAATACTGGATGAATGGATTTAATTATTCTAATCATCAGCATCACAGAAGTAGAGTAGATCTAAATTAGTATTGTTGACTGGTTTGTTAGCAATCAACATTGTACTTTCAGTTTTTGGTTTATTTCCCATTTGATGATTTTACTGGGCCCCTGAAATCTTCAAAAATTCATTGTCTAATCAGATTTGAGCTCTCCGCCATAAAGTATCCAATGAAACATAATAAATAATCTGAATGCAATTTCATTATTTTCACTGATTTTCATTATTTACATTATTTCCATGGCAAATATTTAGATGAGCTCCATTCTTCAGGACCACCAGTTTAGACCTTTACAACTAGGACAGGCCATGCTACTACCATGGAGTTAAATCAGAACCATTTCCTCCATATTTCAGTTGAAAGGGGAAAAATCCACACAGAAATCTCCAAGAACAGAATCCTTAACTTCTTAAAGGAAGTCAAACTTCATACCAAAATATAAAACTATAAAAACTCCTAACACAACTCTATAAAATGTTTAATGTATTTTGAAAACTGAAAACAAAAGGAAAAAGAACTCTTCAGACTTCATAAATATCCCCACTAAAAATAATAATGCAAACTAATAACCAACTTTTTATCAGAAACCAAATACAAAATAACTTGTATTAGAATCCAGCATCTCTAATAACTGAAAGAAAAAAAACACTTTCATCAACCAACCTGTACCCAAAATTATGACTGATCTATATATAACATCAAGCTATATCCAAAACAACCACAAATCGAAACCTTTATCTGGCATTAAATAACCCTATAGTTGTTAATGTGCCCTTAAGTAGACACCAAACAAAGAACTGCTACTTTGTGGAACAGACTCCCACATGGATGCTTTCCTGAGCACTACAGTCTTAACCTCATCAAGTCAAGGATCAAACATTATCTATACTACTCAACCTAATAATCTTCATTTCCTACCACCTCCTCTTTCATTCATATCTCACCCTACATTCATCACAACCAATTTAAATGTAGCTCTCTACCTTGAGTGACATATTGTATTAACTTCACTGTTAAAAAAAAATTGGACTAATCCCCTCATCTTTGCTATTTTAACAAAATGTCGGCCTTTATGCTCTCCAGCCATCCTTAGGTATTTGTCAATCCAGGTAATCATCATTTTGAACTGAATTAATTACAGTATCAGTGAGATACAAAACAACAAATACTTCTCAAGGATGATCGCATTAAATACTTCAAAGGACTTTGACAAGGTGTGTCATAGAGTTACTACACAAGTTCTTTAACTATGGAATTACTGGAAGAGGTTTCTCTATTATGAAGTCCTTTCTAATGGATAGTTCCCTGAAGGTAGTTGTTAATGGCCAGTCCTCCAAGGTCCAAGCGACCAATGCAGATTTTGTGCCCCAAGGCTTGCTTCTTGGTTCAACCCTCTTTCTACTTTAAATAAATGATCTGCCTAAGAATATGTAAATATCTATACTGATGATACAACAGTATATAAGTACACCTCCAAAACTCTAGATAACCAGAGTTTGACAGCTGATCTCTCCTCTGACTGAGCTTGAACAGTTAAGTGGGGGAAAATTGGCTGCTCCTATTCAACATCTCAAAAACCAAACTAGTAACATTCCATCATCACCAAGCGAACTCTGAATTTTCACCTTCCATGATAAATGGATGCTTCCTCAAGAAGTTCCCTGCACCTTGAGAACTTATTGGGACTTAACTTTAGCCCAGACCTCAAGTGGGATTCATACATACAATCCAATGTAAAAGATGCTGGGAAAATAGTCAGTTTCCTTTACTGCTCCAGTAAGTACCTGACTCTTCCCACTATCCTATACCCTTACAGGGGTTAGATCAGGCCAAAAATGGAGTACTGTTGCCATATATGAAGACTTTCAACAACAGTAACAATTAAAATGGCTAGCACATATAACTAGAATGGAAAATAATGATATAATCAAATTGGTGACCTTTTATACTATGCTAAACAAAAGGTCAGGAAGAAAACCCTCATCAATAAAGAAAAGCTGGGTCACTGTGTCATACCAGAAAATCTTTCTTGTCAGAGTCCATCTTGTACATTTATAAACCTACCATTCATCTGTGAATACTGTTGCCATATCTAGACTGTTGCTCTTACAATTCATCTCGAGGTTCTTGACAAAATCCAAAGAAGGATCTGCAATGTAATCAATCCTGACTTGATATCTCAACTTCAGTCACTTTATCACCAGTGTAATGTGGCTTCCCTCTGTCTTTTCTACAAATATTTTCATGGCAACTGTTTGGACGAGCTTTTTCTCCTGGTGCCCCAACTACATGAATTTAAGCATTCTACTAGATTGGCAACTAGGTCCCACCTGTTTACTGTTGAAATAGCTAAATGTAACCACCACTTCTACTCCATTAGTTTTTTTTCATGCATTTCCCACCTGTGTAACACCCTTCTGTTTACTTGCTTCCTTGATAACTACAATCTTCAAAACTTGAAATACAACATCAATCACCATCTTCTATCTTCTTGAAACCTATTTATCTTTTATCCTTTCCTCAATCCTCCCTATACTCAGTCTTTTCTCTCACTTTCGCTCCTTGTAAACCTCTGCATACTAGTGGCATTACTGTTTTGCTTGGGATGAAATTATTAAAAAATAATTATATATACTACCAACCAAAAATTTGGAACCACATTGAATTTTTCCTCTAAACTTAAAAAATGAATCATGTTTTATGTCTTTAAAGAAATAAATTTATTTTTCTATGTTTCGTGTCTATCCCCCATGATAGATGCTACTCTGGGCCTCCCAGATCTTTTTCTGTCAACATCTGCACCGGTTTCTGCATGTCGCTGCAGCAATAATGCTCCCCATTTTTTGATATCTGTAATTTTCTAGCAATTTGATATTCAGAATACCTTTCTATCAAAAGAAGTTCCACATTGGCTCTTTTTTCAATATTAATATGTTTAGTTCTTGGTATTTTAACAGTTTCTGAAAATTAATTCCAATCACATATTCATGGAATTGAACCTCTACCAAGCAATAGAGTTGAAATGTTTGTAAATTTCTGCTCTACATTTCAAAGAAGGGTATCAGGTTGTAACAAAATTAAAATGTTCCAAAGCTTATACAAATAAATTTATAATGCTTGTAGAAAAATTTGTTTGGATTTTCTGTAAGGGTTTGCTTATATATACAATAGGTGAATTTATTTATCCAAATATGCAAAATTAGCCTTTTTTTATGAACTATCAAGAGATAATAACACTGTTCAATAAATATCAAATGATAATCCTACCATTGCCATTTATATTTTTAAGCAATCAGTATTTAAATTATAAACAGTTAAGTGGCTGATTTTATTAATATTTCCAAGGCTTATGACCATAACTCTTAAGTGATTCATATCACTTCTAAATAGATGTTCAGAAATGATAATAAATATACTATGGATATTTATTGGGTTTAAACAATACAAGCCACTATACATTTATCGGCAGTTATTTTCAAAGCTGAGGAGCAACACATGAGAGAAAATATCAATACACATTTCATCATCATCATAATCATCCTCAGTTCTATAACTGGGTGTGGTCATAGGGTCACTGAGCACCTGACTAGCTGCATCCACATGTCTTGGTTGTGTGCCAATATCTGTGCTGAAAGTCAGAATAGCATTCATGTTCTATGTGTCTTGGGCAAGTTGACCTGGCAGGGCCATCCCTCTCCAGGTCTGGCCACAGCCAATGTCCACTGACAATTTGGTCAGAGACATAGAGTCATTTTATCAGAGAAACCCTCTGCTCTGGCAAATGACTTCAAGATACATTATAAAAAAATGACGTTCTTTTATTGTCCTGGGAGGGAAAGAGAATGAAGAAACTTTAGTGAGGTGAAAGTACAATAAAAGAACAGGTTTCAGGAAGACTGAAAATAGTGATTGATGTGACATTTGTTTTTGAAATTGTAGGTGGTAGGAAAGCAAGAAATCGGAAGGGATTTCCACAAGTGAGATGTGTGAGAAAAGTAACTATTAGAAACTAGCTAGCTCATGTGGAGGGCTCTTGATTGGGCCTTCATCACAATAGTAAGGGAGGAGTAGATGTGATAGTCAACCCATAAACTACAGAACTTAAAATCAATCACTGTATTTAAGTATTGCATTAATATTTAAGCTTACCTTTTAAAAGTTCAACAATAATTCTTCTGCTGCCACTTAATTTAAAGACACTTTGATATACGTAGGTCCTTACTTTCTGTACAAACAATTATTTTTATTTCATGGGTAACTTTCACTGGATTTTGCAATTAATTCTGATTATTCCCAAATTTATTTCCAACTAGCAGCATGGCCCGGCATTGCCCGTGCTTGATTCAAAAATCATACGACTCATACAGCAATCGCTATCACTTGACTTAAAATATTTTTGCCCTTCCTTGCCTTTAAAGGAGTGTCCTTTGCCATGCTGATGTTGCTACATGCCTTAGTTCTTGCCTATCTCACACTGCGGATTTTTTCTAAGCTCTATACTAAACATTAAATCTGTTACGAAAAAAAGAACTAAACAAAATGAACACAAAACGATCAGCTTTAAAAAGGACTCGTAACTGGAAAAACCAAATGAAAAAAATGAATGTTAACAACAAATACTTTTTCACATCCAACCCAGTTCTGCGGAATCAGAATCAATTGATTGAGTTTAAGCAAGTGATGAGCCAATTGGAGTAAAGTGCCATGCAGATTTAAATTTTTCCCATTGATTTTTTTGCTATCATGCTAACATGCTAGTTAACATTCATGTCAGTCAGCTGTTGGCTCTCATGCTGGCCAATAGAATCTTCCTGCCTATTCGTGGCAGCCAGCTATAGGCTCTCACTCTGGCCAGTACAAAATGGCCGCAAACTA